GTGCTAGTAAGAACCACTATCCCTGGGCTTAATTTTCCTAGGTCTGTAGTCCCTAAAGGCCAGGAGGAGGGGATGTTGAGACTTGTTATATGGGAAGTTGACTTTTTTTATTCTCCCTGTAAAATGAGAGTTGATTCTTTCTGCATTCCATATGAAAGAAAAACTTAAGAACCCCATGTACATGCAAACTTTGCATAAGAATTAAACAGTTTTATACTATTCTTGAAACGGTTGGTCGTTTAATCATACCATCTTGAGACTATGATTTTAGTCAAGAAATAGTATCAGGTTGTTACTTGCTAGGACACATTTGAACTTTGCAATTGTAGTCTCACTACATTATTTGTCTATTACAGCCCCCTTTTTTCTTCCCTTGTTATATTTGCATAAAGCAAAATGGCACTTTTTCTCCAGACATTTCTAAAACCCAAATCATTCATTCCTTCATTTGTGTGTCAAAGTAAGCTTGAAGGGGGCAAAGCTATTAGAATAAAAAGGACTGGTTATAAATTACAACAAAGTTCATAAATATTCATTCACAAATAAAAATTATCTTGCCACTTTGTGAATGGCAAGTTGATAAAAATAATTTACAGTCCCTGCTTGACTTTCTCCCTTTTAATTAGTATAAACTAGAATTGAAATTACTGTGATTTTATTTTGACTTGATTGTTTTGTTGCAGGAAAAATAGATTGCTTTCCTATGTAGAGAAAAGAAGATACTCTAATTCTACTAATAAAAAAGCTCATTTTCTATTGAAAGGGCCTACAGCTATCAGCTCTTTGGGAGATTATCAGTGACCAGCTTGCTCTGGAAATCAGATGGTTTTTATGCAGAAATTTATGTATCTTCTAGGTGACTGTGTCCTTTGTTCTCCTTTTCACAAATGACCTGCCAAATTGGCACAGGATGAATTTTAAGTTCATGGGCATAGTCATTTTTTAGAGGCACTAGCTTTTTTATGTGTAATGGATTATGAAATGCCTCCACAGTAATATTTTCTTTTTTGATTACATGCTGAAATAAGTGGATGGATGGTATTTAATGTGGTGTTTGTCACTTTTTCTGTATTCCAAAGATTTGGTTTCTTAGCTTTGTCTTATCTGTTTATAAATTTCAGTTTCCAAGTGGGCTGTATTTTGTAGTTGCCTTTAAAAACATAATCTAGAATTCAACAAGAAACATTTAGTTCCCCAATGAGTGGAAACATTGCATTTGTTTTCTGCAAAATATTTTGGGATCCATATATGTACAAGGTAGAATTCTTGCTTGCTATCAAGGACATGCTGGTAACTACAATAGCAGGTAGTTTATGAGTATTAGGTAATTCACCCAGGTTCTGCAGGTAGGCTGACAGAACAGTCACTATCAGAGAAAGTGAGTTTATAAGATGGATAGGATTTGGACAGTCAGGGACTTGGGAAGTTGGTGGGGCCATCATGCCAAGCAGAGAAAAGTATCAACACAGCTGCAGTTAGAGCACAGAAGAGTTGTGCTTGGGGAAAGAAGTCTGGAGCTTTGGTATGTGTCTTGACAGGAGTATTACTGTAACTGGATCCTTGTTTGCTAGGACAAGAAATGTAGATTTTGGCTTATAGTCATTTCAGAGCTGCTACAGTATTTTGAGCAGAAAAATGAAGAAAGTAATATTGGTGATGGCTTGTAGATGGATTTGGACAAGGTGAACTTTTAGAGACTAATAAATAGGTTGATGTCACTGAAAAAAGGGAGATAATAGATGTTAGTAGAATTTGGTGACTATTTGTCAAGTTTGAGGGTGCAGGGCTAGAAGGTGCTATTAAGAAAACAGTAATGGTACCTTTAACTGAAATTGGAAATCACAAGGAAGAGCCTTTGGAGGCAAGTTAGGTTTTAGAAATTTTGAGTCTTGCAATTGTAATGTAGCAGTGGTACTAGAGGGATATTTGGATGTCATTTGCATGTTGAAACCTTGGAAATTCATTATTAACCAAACTTAAAAATTTGTCAGAGCACAAAGAAAGATGGTACTAGATACAAATCAGAGCACACATTGGTTAAAGTTTGGATTAGGGAAGGGGAGGATTTATTATCACTTTAAAAATTTTTTTGTTTTCTGAATGTTACTTTTATAACTTGAAGAATAAAAAGGGCTATTTGAAGAAGATTGAATAATGTATAGGAAAAAGGGAACTAGGAGAACATTTCTGAAATGTGCAAGGAAAAATGTAGAGGAAAAAAAAGCAAAATTGAATTTGGACCCAGGGGAGAATGCTCAAGTTTAAGAAGCGGGAAAAATAAGAGCCAGCAGGAGTTCACTTTGTGGACAAGGAGGAATAAGGTATAAGTATAAAACTGAAAACTTAAGAAAAGAATTCCAAGATTTAATAGGAACAAATGTTTACCATTTTAGTTGTTTTTAATTCTAATGTTTCTGTAATGGAATTACTGACGTGTTCTTTAAAGATTTTAAAACTTGTTAAAATGTATGTATCACTCCAAACTTATCTTGACAGTAATTTGGTAACTGGTGCATGGGAATGTGGCACTACTTGAATTACTTTGGAAACTAGAATTCTAGTAAGATTTTAAGAAATAATGTTTTCCTGTCTTGTTGAACTTTTACAAAACTTTTTATGGCCGTTAAGCCTTGTCTTGAGGCTTAATGGTTATAATTTTGAAAATGTTCACATTTCCTAATTATAAGACTAACTCTTAAAGGGTAAACATTATTAAAAGTTTCATTCAAATGACCTTTTTTCTCTTTTTTTTTAGGTATATTTTTATCCAGTATTGTTCTGATATTGTCCCAGCGATCACTTTTCAAGTTTTACACGTACAGTGCAGCCTTTCTGTTAGCTGCAACTTCAGTGTTGGTAAATTATTATGCTTCTTTGCACATTGACTTCTATGGTGCCTACAACACATCAGCTTTTGGAATTGAGCTGCTTCCTCGGAAAGGGCCCTCACTATGGATGGCACTCATTGTTCTACAGCTAACACTTGGAATTGGATACGTCACGCTATTCCAAATTCATTCCATCTATTCACAATTAATTATTTTGGATCTCTTGGTTCCTGTAATAGGCTTAATCACAGAGCTGCCATTACCCATCCGAGAGAGATTAGTTTTTACTTCTTCTTTGATTCTTATATTAAACACAGTGCTTGTCTTGGCAATGAAACTTAAGTGGTTTTATTATTCTACACGGTATGTTTATCTTTTAGTAAGGCACATGTATCGAATTTATGGATTACAGTTACTAATGGAAGACACATGGAAGAGGATTCGTTTCCCAGATATACTGAGAGTATTTTGGCTAACAAGAATTACAGCTCAGGCTACAGTGTTAATGTACATTTTAAGGATGGCAAATGAAACTGATTCCTTCTTTATTTCTTGGGACGATTTCTGGGACCTCATTAGCAATCTTATCATTAGCGGATGTGATTCTACACTAACTGTCCTGGGCATGAGTGCTGTCATTTCCTCAGTAGCCCATTATTTGGGCCTTGGAATATTGGCCTTTATTGGATCAACAGAAGACGATGACAGGCGGCTTGGCTTTGTAGCACCTGTTTTATTTTTTATTTTGGCTCTTCAGACTGGTTTAAGTGGGCTGAGGCCAGAAGAGAGACTTATTCGCTTGAGTAGAAACATGTGCCTTTTGTTTACTGCAGTCCTGCATTTCATCCATGGAATGACAGACCCCGTACTGATGTCTCTCAGTGCCTCACACGTGTCATCTTTTCGTAGACATTTTCCTGTGCTCTTTGTCTCTGCTTGCCTATTTATTCTTCCTTTTTCACTCGGTCGTGTTCTTTGGCATCGTTACGAACTGAACACATGGTTGTTTGCAGTTACAGCATTTTGTGTGGAACTCTGCTTAAAAGTAATTGTTTCTCTCACTGTTTATACGCTATTTATGATTGACGGCTACTATAATGTCCTCTGGGAAAAGCTTGATGATTATGTCTACTATGTTCGTTCAACAGGCAATATTATTGAATTTATATTTGGAGTAGTAATGTTTGGAAATGGGGCTTATACTATGATATTTGAATCTGGAAGTAAAATTCGGGCTTTTATGATGTGTCTTCATGCATATTTTAACATCTACTTACAAGCAAAAAATGGCTGGAAGACATTTATGAATCGTAGGACTGCTGTTAAGAAAATTAATTCACTTCCTGAAGTAAAAGGGAGCAACTTACGAGGAATAGGTGATGTCTGTGCAATATGCTATCAAGAGTTTGCATCATCTGCTCGTGTCACACGGTGTAATCACTATTTTCATGCACTTTGCCTTCGGAAATGGCTGTACATTCAAGATACTTGTCCAATGTGCCATCAAAAAGTATACATCGAAGATATCAAGAATAATTCAGATATACCTAACAACAGTGGATTTATTGCACCCAATGAGAATCCAGAGGAAGCTGTAAGAGAGGCTGCTGCTGAGTCTGACAGGGAATTGAATGAGGATGACAGTACAGATTGTGACGATGATGTTCAAAGAGAAAGAAATGGAGTGATTCAGCACACAGATGCAGCAGCTGAAGAATTTAATGAGGACACTGACTGATTAAAATAGCATTTACTAATCATTGAGGTTGTTAAATTTCAGTTCATCCAAAATGGAGTTAATACGCTTCACATCAGTGTGTAACCAAGCACAAAAACAGTATCAGTGTTGAATCTGTGAATGGTTTTCCGTTTACTGTGATGTGCTACTGTAAATATACCTCTTTAATTACTTCTGGTCTCTTTGGTGACCTATTTAAATTTGTGTACATTATTGTACATAGAATAAAATGTTTTCACATTTTTATGACAAAATTTGAACAAATAGCTTTTTAATAGATGTAATGATAATATGGTGCGCCAACTGTGCCAAAGATTCCTCAATGAAAGTGTGTAATTCATCGAACTCTGGCCCCTAGTGTTTCTTTAAGATGGGTGGGAGAATGCAAATGCAAACCAGAGAAAACCACAAAATCAAGGAAAGAAAGTCATTTCATAAACTAAGGAGAAAGTAGTTTGCCAGAAGTGATCAAGACTTTGAAGTTTTAGTGTAGCGCTGTAGCTGAGCTGAATTTGAAAGTCCAGACTTGGAGACTGTGAGTTGAGAAACAGGCTTACATCAACTTGTATCTGGCATGAACCAGAACGTGTTTAATTTTAATGTAAAAATCAGTGTATCTGTTAGCCATTCTATGTTTGCAGCAATGATATAAAATTTGTCCTTTTGGACTTTTAAAAGAAATTATAAAATGAAACATTTGGTGGTGGTTATTCTTTGAAGCTAAGAAAAATCCTGATTTTATGGATAAAAATAAGGGGACGGTGTGCAGTGATATGTAATGCCTCTTTATGGACAACTTCCAGAGAATTCCTTTATTGAAACTTTCACTAAGTTTTACCATGCAATTTTACATACATGATGGAAAATGGAAGACATACCAATTACATGTCAGGAAAAAATAATTTAATGGTATTGTTATATAGTGTGTTGGCTAATTCCACTGGATCCTCATCTCTTACTGCTGACATGATCTCCAGTATTTGACTAAAACAAAACAAAACAAAAACAGTTTAAATTGCTATATACATGTTCTGTTTTAAAGATATTATTTTTCCACATAAAAGATGATACTGGTAGCTTTAATAAGCTTCAGCAGACATTAAAATTTTCAGCACTATCAGAAAGTGCTGGAAATTTTAACTGCTAGGATATTTAAAATAGGGTAATTAGATACAGATTTCTAGGGTAGTCTTGCATATAACTAGAGAAAAAAAAGTTGCATATTATAAAACCAGCCTATAATATGTGTACCACAATTATAGAATTAACCCAGTGGAAATGAGTCCTTAAAACAGAGTCATTACGTATTCACTACTGGGTCACAACGAGCTTTTAAAAAAAACTGAAAGAAAAAAAAAAGTACGCTATAGGGCAGTACTGTTTCATTTCTGTTTGGGTTGTATTTATATATGTACAGTACACGTGTAATATATCAAAGCCTGAAAGCCACTGCTTACAGAACTGGTTACTAAAGGATAGCAAGAAATTGCCGTCTGAGCACCAGCAGAATGACAGCCAAGGAACTTAGAAGTTATTTACTTGGAACAATATGTGTTATGGGGAGGCAGAGTCAGGTGGGGCTGGGCAGGCTCTCTCTTACTCCCCCAACCCCCACCCTGCACAATAGAAAGAGTAACCCAGATTGTTAATCTTTCAGTTTCTCTGTATAGAATGGTAATCATCAGTAATGTTTTCTAGCATTCTTATATATAAATAGAATTTTATACAAGAATTAGAAAGTTCTAAAGTCAAAACTAAACATTTAAGTAGTCTATCAGTTTCTTTATATAAAACACCTATAAGTATTAGAGGTGGAAATTAAAGATTAACTGGAACTTTTTATTCTATAAAAGTTAATACTAAAAGGCTTGCTTATTAATCTGTATACTAAATGAACTATGCTAATTTTTGTTATCTGACAAGATATGCTTAAAAGTAAATCTGTTAACATTTAAATTGACACTAAAGATCCAATTTTCTTCATAAACTACAGAATCTTCCTCAATTTCACTATCTGGACTCAGAACTTACATGTATAATATTGTGCAAAATCAATGATTCCTTGTACCCTTCTCCCTTGAGCAGTCCTCCACACTGATACCACTTACAGCTTAAAAAAAAAAAAAAAAAAAAGCTGCCATTTTCCTGCTTAAAATCCCTTCAGTCCCAATAAAATCCAAACTACTGAGGTTTGCATACAAGAGCCTTCTCGTTCTGGCCTCACTCTCCCATTCCAAACTTGATCACAACCTGTGCACCCTACTTTCGCCACACTAAACTCACTGTTCCCCAAGCGGAGCAGCCACGCCCTCCTGCAGTCTGCCTTTGTTCAGAGTGTTTGTGTAGTCTGGCATAACTCCCAGTCAGTAAACAGTTGAAATGTCACCTTCCTTCCCTTAGTTCTCTTACTTCCCTTCAAGGCAGGCCGTTGCTATGTCCTATAGTTCCAGTCACATATTCATACCTCTGTAACAGCACTACCATCTGAAATTATACTTTTCACATGCTCGTTTGTTCCAGAAGGAAGGGATTCTTGTCTGGCTCATTTCATGCCTTATCCAAAGTGTCTGGCACCTACTCACTGGTGGATGGATGAGGGCAGGGACTGTCTTGATTCTTCTATGAAGTCTCAGTAAAATGACATGGCAAGAGCTCCAAAATGCCTTTTGAGAAATTTATTTAGAAGGAAGATTTCTATACAAATAAACTGTCAATAGATGGAGGTAGATTAAAGATTAAAATGACTTTGTAAGTAGGAATTTCAACTTGCTAATGAGTTATTAAGACTATAGCATGTGTATTTTTGAAATATGGTTTAGACTTCAGTTTGCAGATGTTGATTTTTCCCAAGCTCTACCTACTCAGAACGAATATTCATACTGCAGTTGATACTCGAGCATTTTTAGTTCTTAACTGTCTACACTTAGAAACACCTTCACATCCTGTCTTGCAAATGTGGAGCTAAAGTCAACAGCTTGACATTAAGGCAGTATAGAAAATGTTGGCAACTACTTCCTCTCTAAGCTGGCTGCTGGATAAATACCAGTTTCTTGTCTCTAGTGTCCTCTTAAATGTCCAAAGAATTATTCAGAAACATTGTGTCCTGACTGAATTTGCAAGTCATACATTTCATAAAAATTACAATCGATTCTTTACGAAGCAGAATTTATATATATTCCTCATCCCTCAGTTTTAAAACATCGAGTTTTAAAGTCTTTGCCAACAACAGCACATTTAATAACAAAAAAAATCTTTCCAATATGTTTTTGTAGAGTAATTCACATTTCTGCCTGCTGACTTTAGATCTGGCTTGCTTCATACTCTTACCTGTTTAAAAATGATTGAAAAGCAGATGATGCAGATGGAAGGAATTACTACAGTTTAAAAGTAAAATTCAGTAGTAATTTATATGAATGTGTTATATATATATCCAATTGCCTAAATTGGTAAACCATACTAGACTGATATATTCGAGATTTAAATTATGGGTTTGTGCAAACAAAAGAAATTAGATGGTGTCCCCATTAAAGTGATGTAACAAACTTTTTCTGTGAGTTAAAATATGGTCTCCGGTTCCTTGACATCAGATGAGTAACAGGGTCCTCTCTTCATATGTGCTATACACTATCATTTTAAAAAGTGATTCTAAATTAGTTTTTTTAGGAAATAAATTCGACCCCCGTTTTTTAGTTGGAAAAGGAAACCCTCTTGTGTTCTTAGGTTTCCTCAGGTTGTCAAATCGTTTCAAGTGCAGATCCCAATCAGAAGGTCTGCTAAGACTGCATTTTTATAACCATCAACAGGGAAGCTGCAGGGGAACAGAACTTCAACCACTTAAGGGGTTTCCATATATGGAAAGCATTAAGATCTTTTCCCTCCTATGAAATGACAAATGACCAGAATTACATGAAGTTTTCACTGCAGCAATAAAAACCATTTGAGGTAGAGAGGATATGAACAGAGAGGCTGGAATACAACAGTTCAGGTGCAAATCCCTCCAAATCACTTCATTAAAATGGTGCTTGATCTGAACTTCATTTGGACTTCACCCAGTTTTCTACCCCTTGAGTTCATTTTGTTAGGTGCCATTTGGTGGTTGATACTAATGTTTTAAGAAGACCACAAAAACAAAATACTTACATTATATGGCAAGGTTCATTTCTGTCTTTCAAACAGTGTCCATTTTCCCATTTCTTTTTGGTGGGAAATGAAGTTTTTACATACTTTGAACCAGCATGTGTACTTTTGACTCCGCACCAAGGTGCATCTAGGGTTAGCAAATAGAAGTGTCTTCAGAAATGTAACTCTTTGAACTATTTTTTAAGTGAACATAACCAAATCCATATATAACCTCTAAAGTAAAAGTTGCATTCAGCTTCAAGTATGGCAAAAAGCAACAGAAAGAAATTTAAGAAAAGCACAATTAATAAAACTGAGAACTGTACAAACTCTTAAATGTTTTTGTAAGACTTGCTTTTATAGCCCCCACCCCTGGCTAACATTATTGCTGGTCTATGACATGCTTTAAAAAAAAAAAAGACCTACAGCTAAAAGAAATACAACTGACATGAAACATTTAGGTAAAACAAATTTCTATATAGCCTCTACTCATGAAACAGTGGCTTTGAATACTGGGATTATTCACTAACATATTTCCTTAATTAAGAATTACAATAGCTCACACATTCTATAAACACTGTACTTTTAATGAGCTCATTTAGTTTTCCTTAACCCCCAAGAAAATAAATCCGATTTGTTCTGAATGGCTCAGCCTTAAGTCCATGTGTATCAAGAGACCCTTGAGTTCCACGGTACAGATAAAAATTTTAGCTTCTAACTTTTTTTTATTTTAAAAGGCAATATTATTATCAAAAATTCTTAGACTGAACCAATTTGATTTGAATTTCTGTACTTTAAAAGTACTATAAAACTAGGCCAATGCAAATACGACATTGTGTAAAAAATAAAATCCTGAACAGTTTTTGAAACCCTGAGGTAGAATGCTTACTAAGACTCCTTGTTTAATAAAATATTCATAACTACAACCGTAGTTACTGACATCTTCTAAGTGCTTATTAGGCTTTGCCAAACTTTAAACATCACTTGTATAAGTATTTCCCCATCAACTGATAAAAACACCCAAAGGTTTTCTAAAGAGTGTAACTGTTGGGGCCATTTTAAAATAAAATACTTGTTCAATTTTCTTTAGCTCTTTTGGGGCATATTTTAATATGATAGAGTTCTAAAAACTAACTTACCAGTCTCAATCATTAATTTTTCAATAGGTATTGACTTCAAAACTTCCAAATTAGCCTCAGTTTTCAGTGAGCTTAAAAAAAGATATTAATGTATAAAAATAAAAGGTACATTTAATGAAGAATAACTTTGCATACTATAAATTTGTCTGAAACAGATCAGAAAACTATCTCGAAATCCCAAAATAAACTTTGGTTGGCTACAGAGGCAGTATACCATTGTATCTGTACATTCCTATTGTTAAACAGAAAGTTTAACCCAAGGCGGACAGTCTTTTTAAACAAGACTGTTAGGCCCTTGCTAGCAAGAAAAAGACCAGGTCCTGGTATGAAGTCCAACAGTGGGGAAAGGCAACGCAGCTGTCCTGGAGTAGCTGAGCATTTTTACAGTTGGGAGGGGCATGTAAGTTGTTTTCTTTGTCTATAGATAAGGGGTGGGAGGAGGTAAAGCAGAGCCAGCTCTGGGACAGGCTGAGTCTGCCAGGAAAAAAAAAAATCTCTGGTCCTGGGACTGACTGTGGGCAGCAGATTGGAAAGTTCCAGCAGAGGCTGCTGGGGTTCTATGGTGCCTGGCTAGTCTCTCTTTTTAGATAATCGTGGAAATAGCCATCAGGCAGTTAATCCAAAATTCCACCGGACAACATACAGGAATGTGAGCGTTGTTAGCTGACCTTGCAGTTGTTAACCTCCTCCTGTCTCTTCCTTCTACGCTCTGCCTGCTGTCCTTTCCTTCAGGACATCTCGGAACTGACTCCTTGATATCATCCTTCCAGAATCCAATTAAGATCTATTCCAACCAGATCTTGTCTTTAGTGGAGGCAAGAACTTTCTATGCATCTAAAACTTAACTTTTTAAGAAGAATTCACTTCCTTGGAGTAATTTACATAACTCAAGAGTGGAATAGTGTAAGCGCTCTCTTCCAGTTTCAGCTGTCTTCCAGAAATCTACAGAACATTTCTCTATTAGCAGAAATGTTTTTTGGTTTGTTTTTATAGGTTTTCCTTTTTGAGCGTCTGTAATTTTATTTTAGTAGGATTTTAGAATGGACAGGAGTGAAATGTTTGTGCAGTCTGCCCTAAGTACCAGCCTTAGTGTTCTCTAGAAAAAAAAAAGAAAGTTCTTATTTTCAGTCCATTTAATGTATTTTGTCTATATATTTTCTAAAATATATGGACATGCTCCATATTGAGGGGAAACAAGGTTTGCCACCCCAAAATATCCCTTTTGGGATATTATTTTAAGCTCATTACTTTCAAGAAAAACAGGAAAAACTTCTGACCCCCCCCCAACTGCCTAAGAATTTAGATAGAGGACCTGCTCCAGTGAGGGATGGATGGTCATAACTACAGTCTGAACTGTGATAGAGATGAACCTAATAAGCACAAGGCCCATTTGACCAATTTCCTCAGTGTCCCCATTGTTAAAGATGGCCCAACAAACAGTTGTTAACCAAACATTTGCTTTTCCTTTCCCTTTGAATTGCCTTCCTCCCCTTTGAAATCCCAACACACCCCCCCCCCCCCCCCCAGCTGAAGAGGGCAATATAAGCCTCAACTGCCTCTGGTCTCGTACTCTTCAGAACTCCCATATATACCTATGTAGTAAGTTTGAAGATTTTTTTCTGTTGTTGTTAGTCTCATGTTAATTTGATTTTACAATCCTGGCAATTTGTAAAAACTGATCTAAATACTAAAATAAATAGTATCAGAAGAAACATTTTTAATCGAAGCCAGTATACTTATTTAAAAGGTTTTCCATTTAAAGAAGAACAACTATGCTTCTATTTTTAACTTGAAATTTGTCCTTTTTCATAGGAAGGGAAAGTTAATAATTTAATTAGAAACCACAGATTTGTAACACAGTATAAATGACCATACTGGAGACTCAAATTAAGACTATAATAAATTAAGTTTCAAGACAACAGAAATATTGACTTTGATTAGACAAATGACTAATCCATTAATACTATGTTAATGTAGGGGAGGAAAGCTAAGCCTTTATAAACTCAAGATAGGTTAGAAACATTTGAAGCAGACTTACGGTTCAACAGGGTAGAAAATAAAAGGCCTTCTACCAACACCCCCCACCCCAAAAGCCATCCAAAATAACAAGGAAAAAAGAAACCAAAGAAACACCATTTTTGTTGAAATTAGGAGAGATTGCTAACCCCCTAATTAAAATACATAAAGTGGAAAATGATGGAAAATAGTAAATAGCCTGTATTTATCTGCTAAGCAACTTAAGTGCTATGTGCCTGCAGAAAGAGATACTGAAACAAGTAAACCAACTCACAGAAGAAAGTTCTAAGAACTGGAAAAACTAGGTAAAGGCTGGGAGGAGGCAGGGGACTGAAAAGGGGGGTTGTTGGAAGAGTCGGGGTAAAGAGAAGATGGGACTCCTAGATTACCCTCCGGTGAACTGGTGCAGAAACGATTCACACTTTGGTCCCCACCTGTGGGTGAGGGAGAAGGGAGGGAGAGAAGTACACAGTCTGGAAAATTTCCATCAGAGACTGGACTGGAGAAGACGCACAGCAGGACTGAGACATGGAAATGGACGTGGAGGCGGTGTGCACAGTGGGAGCCTCTGCAACCCCACCCTGCTTCAGCACACAGGCACATTTACAAATCTCCACCCTACTCTTCCTCAGGGATCAGAGCATCTTCTCCAAAGGAACTGAACCCACCTGGCAGATCTCAGCAAGGTGACATTGAGGGACCCCTGGTGAGAACGTCAGGTGGCCACCTGGCTGGCCTGCCAGTGAATGGGCTATCTCACCACTGAGATTCCAAACGACGTTTGTGTTTTCTTTTGTAACTTTTATTACGATGTACAGGGAAGAACTGCCTGACATTTAAAGAAAGCCTACATTGTCAGACTGACCAGAAAAAGGAACTCAGAGCTTTTTTTGGTATACTGAAAATAACTTTAAAGAACCATAATTCTTTAAAGAGATGAGAAGATGCTGCCGAAACATAATCAGATGGAAGTTTTCTTTTTTTTTTAAATCCACTATCCAAGCACACTTTCAAGAGGGAGGCAGAGAATATGTTCTTTCAAACACATGTTCCATCAAAACAAAATGAATACATAGGATAGAAAAAATAGTTCTATCACAGAAAAGATACCAGTCCAAGCAAGCAGAAAGATGGAAGGGTCTGGAAGGGATGAACTACTGGATTATCTAGTTAGGTTTCCTCACGTGGCAAAAGAGATAAAGGCACTTTAGAGTTGTTGGAAAGTGTGAGAAGGCTTAAACTTTTGAAGACAAATAAAAGTAAGGAAATTTACTCCAGAAGAGTCAAAAAGTGATACACCACATGGTTCACTCATCAATAATAAAACACTGAATGTGCACATAACCACAAATCTAAAATAACTACACCGAGAGGCCCATGGACGACAATGCAGGGGGGGAACAGTGCGGGATGAGAACTGAAATGCTCATCTACCTTCGAAGAATAGAAAAGGGAGATGAACTAGTAACTGCAATGCATATTATTTAGAAATAAGGTGATAAACAGCAATGTGGATGCCTCTGAAAAAGTTGACTTAGGAGAAGACATGCTAGAGAGACTGTGTTTAAAACCTCTTAGTACCACTGAACTTACTCATATATTCCTTTGCATATTGACCAATTAATCAGATAACTCAAAATATGGAAAGTACACCCAGGACATTTAGTATGTCTGAACTCTATAGCAGACAGGTAATTTCATGATTCTATTTCCTAAAATTTTAGTAAAAAGTAGTATCAGAAAAATAATTTTAAGGAAATGAAACACTAATGAGGGAAAGCAATCTGATACTATTTTGCAATCTATTTAATGAGCTACGCTGACATCCTGTAAACACGACACCGGTGGAGGCTCACCAGATTTGGAAGGAAACGAACCTGGACTGGGTCCATGAGGTTTTAGTTTTTGGTGCAGCAGCAGAAAGGCCCTCACACTTGGAATCACTACACTTTATAGCTGTTTCTTAGCTCCTCCAAGCCTCAGTCACTTGGCCTACAGAGATGATGATTATGTCATAGTATGACCTTTCCCCCATGGTTAGACACCGTGTGCTTGTATATGTGCTCGCACACACAATGCTGTGAACAGGTACGCTTGGGACAAAATACCCTGAAAATAAACTGCGGTGCCAGAGAAAGCTGCTGCTGAGCCCAACCCAACATGACGTTCCACCGCTGGGACACAAGGTGGTGGCTTTAAATGTTCAAGCTTAAACGTGGTAACAGTGCTATTCAATTTCTTACATAATTACTGAAATTCTCAGGCCAAGGTCCATGCAAAATAACTAATAAATTTTATATCATTATCAACAATTCACTGTAAGACAAGTTAAGGAATCTGTTTAATATAAAAGTTAAAAAAAAAACCGAAAACAGGAACCTACCAACCATTAAATCCTATATAGAGATCCAAGTCAATCAAAGCAGCTGCTGCTTCCTTGGTACCATCAAATGAATGCACCTACAGACATACAGGTATAATTTATGACTCTTCCTTTAAAATCCTAAATACAATTTATAAGCTTTTCTAAGCAAGAATATAGGTGTGTAGAGGTTCTGGAGCACAGATTTCGTATGTGGTGGCCCCCATAATTTTTCAAACCAGCGTTCACAATTACAGCCTGTTATCATCTCCAATGACACGAGGCAAGGATTAGCTGGCCACCTAAAATTTCTGTCTTTGTGGCTGCGGGGCTACCTCCCCACCAGCATCACTGCACGCACACGTTACAGTTACGTGTCTGGGAAGATGGACTGCCCTAGGGAACCACATTCTTAGGCAAAAGCATAAGAAAAAGTTAGAAATGCTATAAAACTACTTTAAAAATATTTTTAAGTATTCAGTTTTTCTGTTATAGGACACTGCTTACTTGAAATTACTTAAGAGGCAAATTTTAAGCCAGTTTATAAAGAGGTCATGAGAATGTTGCTAAAACAATGTAAATTGTTATACAGTCGATAATACCTGCTCAGTAGGGAAAAAAAAAATTGAGATGGTGGTTTTACCTTTCAAAGATGTAGGGGTTAAGGCTCAGTTTTCATAGTTTGGATGTACGTATGTGATTGAAGCCAGTAGGCAACAACAACCACACTCTACCTAACCAGTGAGAGCACATTAATACTGAGTCTAGAGTCTGAATACATGAAGGATAACATGTTTTTCAACAAATAAAACTCTTGCACAATGGTCCAAAAGGGTTTGTTTCCTTAGCATTTCCAGCTGACTAGAAACATTCTCCAATAATAGTGAAATAATTGTAAATGTGACTCCTCATAAACCATTTCAAAAAATTAGTTCTTATCTGGCAGTCCCTTTAATAAAAGTCAAACATTTAAGTTCGATTTGTTGTTGCTGTTAATTTTGTAACGATTAGAGAATTATCCAATAACTATTAGAGAATCAGCCAAATAAATTCTCATTTAGAAATAAAGCAAAGGGGCTGAGAGGCAGAGCCTGAAGGTTGTGGGTGCCACGAGCAGTACCAAGAGCGTCAATGAAAGCCTTTCTCAGTTCCCCCGCGCTGTCCCTAAAGGACAGTTAGCGTGTCCGTAAACTACAGCTGAAAGTGCGCACAGGAATGTTTAACACTCCAGAAACTGAAAAAGCATGCACATCACTAGTCCGTATGAAATGAAGCTACAAACTTGAGATAAATGTGACACTGTCAAAGCAATGCAATGTGGGTATGTAATTAGGGCACAGTACTAGTTCCTCTTTCCTTAATTGGCAAAGTACAGCTATGTGATTTCATATACCTGGATAACAGGTTTTTTGCTGTTTTTTTGTCTCATGAAATTTTGTATGAAAATTTATATATTTCAGCATTTTCTGAGGCAGACTCTCAAAGGAGTCCATGACCCCAAAATGATTAAAAATCACTGATATGGATAGATACTTGAATTCAGTGGTGGGCATAATATTTAAGGGAAATGTCTCAAGATGAATGATTGAAATGACCATATAGGAGAAGTGTTTAAAACAGAAGCAAATTACAAAACAGAGAATGAGTCTTCAAGAGTGGCAGTAGTCAATGAATACAGTTGACAAAAAATTAGGAAGGCAAATCTGAAATGAGTGTCAAATTATTTTCAAGTATTATTGAAACTAGTTTTATTTTGCCCAAATTTAAGAATGGCTGATAGAAGAGGCAGAGAAAAATGACCACACTGTTATAATAAAATGCATACATTAGGGGTTTCTTGTGAACAGAATTCTGTACTCATTGTTGTGCTTTGAACAAAGTAACAAATTTACATGTCCTTCATATAATGAGAGAAGAGTCTTAATAATTTTAATGCTGACACCTGAATCAGAGGCCAACCTTAATAACCAAGAAGCTTTTGTGCCGATTTTTAGAAACACTCCTATACTTACTACTCCACCTACACACCGATCTCTATTTCTCTTCATTATATCTGTGAATTAAAAACAGAACTTTTAGCAAATAGCTGGATTTCTGCAAAACAAATTCTAAATATTTTAGCCTTAACTCACCCAAAAATTCAGCATGTGAGTTTCGACAGTGAAGAAACATTGGTAATTTTGTCTGTTCTGACAATTCAAATTGTTTCTCAAAATATCTGCATAATGCATAAGATTTTCTTGTTAAAAATTTTGTTTTAGCACAAGAAAAATAACTGTCAAATGATCTTTTTTAGTTAAGGGGATTTCCCTAGAAATTACAGGACAGGAATAGCAAATTCAGACATTTCAAATACATCAGGCTTGGCCAAAGCTTTTACAACACACATCTTCTGGAAAGCGACACTTCGTTTTCTGAGATGACAAATTTTTTTCAGAAATGATTATAACTAATAGGTAATTTAGGTAGCACTTTACTACTGACTGCTAGAAGTTAAGAGATCTAAAGTTCAAGTTTAGAGGTATAGGGGATAGTCCCCCAAATAATTCCTTTTAACTGGCTTTCCAACCAAACCTCAGCAAGTGACATAGGCACCCTCCTATAAGCTGTGGGGTTCCTTCCTGCACAGGGTGTCTGTGGTGGCAGGTACACGGTTGGCCCCTGCTCTGAGAGCTGGCTGAGCACCACCAGCAGGGGTCAACTCATTCATGAGAAGCCAGGCAGAACTTCGCACTCTGTTTTCTATGTGCTGTTGTCTAAGAAATTACTGCCACTGAACAAAAAAGCAAGATTTCGTACAAACTAAATACAAGGACCTGTTACAGAGCACAGAAACAGAAATACTCCATTTTCCAGCAAAATGAAAATCACACAGTAGCCCTGAATATTTCAGAATACCTTTATGAAAAGGTTTTTTAAGTGCCACACACCATTTGATCCTCAAAACCACCCTAGTACAGCATAAGAGCCAGTGGTGGAGGTGGATAGGACCTTGTCCAAGATCACAACATGTACACAACGTGGCAAACCTGGAACCAGAACTTCGAGCTCCAACCAATGCCCAACTAGTAAAGTAAGTTTTTCTAGCTTTGGTGACTGATCCTGTCTCTCTCTGGTATCCTTTCCTCTTAAATTATATCCCCCCCAAATGAATCTGATTCACTTTAATGGAATGGTTCATAGAGGAATGCATTTACTAAGGCAATAAAAAGCAACAAAAAGTCTCTACTATAGAAAATGCATCCCTCATTTCTACCATTAAAATCTAATTAGATGGTTATTTAATTAGGGAACTATCCTTCCATCCCTTAGGAATTACATGCATGGAATTTGTTTCACTTAACTTTTGATATACAATGGGAAAAACAAAATCTTGATGCTTAATCTAACTTCATATTTGATAAAAGCAGTTTTTAAAAAACACTCTTAAGACTTTACAATAATTTCTAAAGTCAACAAATTTCCTTACTTGAGCTGGGTATCTTTGGGACAAAACTGTAGTCGGTCAAAATCTTCAAAAGACAAAAACAAACAAACAAAAAGAACCAATAATTACTCAGGACTTATACAGAGCAACTCAATTATTTTCAAAGTCATTCTAACTGGGCTAGATTGGCACTTACCAAGACCACACTCCCCTACTGCTACAACTTTCCCCTTGTTGTTTTCAGCAAGATTTAGCAATTCCACAAAGTAAAGATCAGGGTTATTCTTTTCAAAGTCACCACATCTTGTAGGATGACATCCAACTGTACTGAAAAACATATCTAGTACAAAATAATGTCCAAGGATTATTTTCAAATGATTGTTCATATTTATATTTCATATGCATAAGAGAACATTAATTTCACATGGTTTTCAACAATAGCCATAAACTATTCAAACTGCTAGAGCTGCACTAGGTTAAGCATGTAAGAATTTTTGGAATACTTTAACAAAGTAGGACATGAAGATGAAAAATCTGCCTTAACATATTCGTAAAAAGAATTTATGCAATTCTTGCCAAAGCTTGGTATTTACTGAGTCTTCTAGAAAGGAAAATGAAACAACTTCTTGTACAATTAAATGTCAATAGCTAATTTTATCTTTTATAGTCACCCTTCATGCGGCTCTGTTATTTCATGCATTTAATAGTTAAAGTGTATATTCCTTCCCCTTAAAAAGGATGACTTAAAGAGGTAGAAGAGGGAACTCATGTTTCTGATGAAAAGTAAAGCTCCCTTATTTGGAGCCCATACTGTTTGATAGTTTTAATTGTATGGAACACAAATGTGAAGTCAAAAAGGGCTTCTGAGTGGTTTAAGGCACTCCTTGTATCTGAACCCAGGAAAGAGGCTGGCGCCGCCCTGGGCTCCCATGCAGGTGTTTGCACACAAGGGAGGGAGAGCACCGAAAGCAGTGAAGACACCGGCCCAGAGAGGAGTGGGGGAGGGCCGCCGGCGGGGAGGTCTGAGAACTAAACACTGTCTGTCTGGGGGTAAAAAGCATGGAAGACAAACACTCTCATACACCTGAAAGCTCTGGGAAGGTGATTCCTTTTATGACTTGAATCACCAGGAAAAAAGTATCAGTGGATCCTGAAGCGAAGATTTCCATAAAGAAGGCCAGTACTGGGGGGGGGGGGGGGGGGGGAATAGAATGGTCTAATTTTTCAATGTCCAGCAAATGAAGCATGCCTCCACCCCTTAAAAAAGGTTAATAAAGAAAATGAATGCCAGATAAAGGAGGCATTTTATATAGTTAGGATTCCTTTGGAATTAGTTCCAAAAGTTAAAAGATTTTAAATAAATGCAGAATGTATGAACATAATGTAAGCATATTTGAGATTACATAGTATATTATTACTTGCATTGCTGGGACAGTGTTTGGTCTGCATAATAAATAATTTTTCTCAGCCTAAGTTTAAAAAAGAGCAAATAAAAAGCAACTCATATCTTAAACACATTACAACATACCCACAAATTCTACATCACAAATATTTGTGGTTAAATTATGTACCTGATGACCCGAATTCTCATTAACTGAAATCTTAAGTATGATGAATTTTTTCAAGCTCTGCTATGCCAGTGGGCATTCTGAATTTTTTCATCCTACTCATGTCCCATTGAAATCAGTCAGTTTTCCTGCTGTCTCTACCACCACAACTCATTGCATTGTACCTGAAGCAGTTCTCAGAAAGACTTCTTCAAAATAACTTAATTATTTGTTTTTGGTAAAAGTAATATGAGGATACCATTTGTTTGTGCCAAATGCAGTGCATCTTTACTGTCTTGCAGATTTCCACCTGTAATCATAAACTGAAACGGAAATAAATTAAGCCCACTTTAACAAGGTACCAGCAACAGCCCACAAACATGCCTTCCTGCTGCAGCTTTTTCCCAGAATGCTTCTCTCTCAGACGGTCATACCCCTACTCATCCTTTAAAATTCTGCTGAAAGATCACCTCCCATGTAAAGTGGTCCCTGTCTACCTCTCTCCAGTACATGCACAAGCACACAATACACAGAATCCATAACTCCTACCTATTGAAACGTATTAACATGTCTATCTTTCCTATCAGAGCATGAGCTCATTGAGGGCAGAGCACTGAGGGCAGAGATCAAGTTGTGAAACATTGGAAAAGACTGAGTAACTAATTAAAAACCTTCGATTTTAGAATTCTGTTCATCTAACTCAGTGATTCCATAGTGCTGATTAATTCAATAGCTCTCCCAAGTATCATCCCAGAACCCCCACGATGTATATGAGACTGAACCATTTTCGTAACAACACTAAGATGCTCTTTGCCTTTTTCACTCTCATTGTCACAAGTGAGCAAGGAGGTATTCCAGAGGCTACATAGTGTATAACCTCATGTCAGACTGCAGAAACGGATGTGCAATTCAGCGGTCTCCTAGTAAGCCAGGCATTAAAGAGATGTAAAAAAATGCAAAACAATTCCACTCATGTCACTAAATTTTTTTGGTTCTGAAAGTATATTTTTCATAAAAATGTTCTTTGTTACATAGTGGTATTATTTTAAAATGAATACAGTTATTAAAATTTTTTGTTTTAATTTCTCATATAGCACATTGCAACAGATAAACCCACATAAACGAAAGTTCTTTGGAATCCTCAATAATACTACAAAACACGAAAGGGTTTTGAGACCAAAAGTTTAAGAAACACTGCGTTAACATGTACAGATGAATTCTTTGTCGGGAAATGTATGGTTCTTGGCAAAGAAGCACACTTCTACAGAAACAGCATGACAGGCATTTAGAGCGCCATCTTTGCTAATTTGTTAAAAGGAAAATGCAACCGAAGAGCTATGTGTTGATGGTGACCTGAGGAAGTGCTGCTTAAGTGACGTTCTTCTAAAGAAGGCATTTAAGTACAAAGGTGTATTATTTTTATTTTGAAGATTTTAATTATGTATTTTTAGAGAGTGGGGAGGGCAAGGGAAGGAGAAAGAGAGAGAGAAACATCAATGTGTGGCTGCCTCTCTTGTGCCCCCTACTGGCCCGCAACCCAGGCATGTGCCCTGACTGGGAATTGATCCCATGACCCTTTGGTTCACAGTCCTGTGCTTAATCCACTGAGCCACACCTGCCAGGGCCAAAGATGTATTATTTTTAAAAGCATACTTCAAGACTCTCACTGAGCTTAAATGAAGAATTCATTCTAGGTACACACCTAAAGAATAAACATACAAAACATCGGAGGAAGTACAAATGACAGACATTTTCATAAAGCAACGTAAACTACTAATGTGACAGACACTGAATATCCAGTCAGGGGACGCAAAGCCATAATTAAATCCTCAACCACTTATATAACACAGGATATAAGATATTAACACAAATTTGGAAAACTTTACTGACTCTGCCTGATTATTTAATGCAAGACCACATTCAGTATTTCAATGATATAAAATAGCTTCTAATCAAGCCTGCCTTTTAATTTATCTAAAACTTCTCCTAATGATGAGAGAGGTTAGGGCAAGATTAGAGGACATAATAGCCTCTCCCAGTTTATAATATGACCATGATAAGATGGCAACTTCCATCATAAACATAACAAAGGTTTACTTTACGCCTGACACAATACCGAGTACTATGCGCTTAGGTTACTATTATCACTCTGTGGACGAAGAGAAAGCTGAAGTCCAGACAACAGACGAAGCAGCCCAGGTTACAAAGCTGTGAAGGATAAAGCTGAGAGTGGAAGCCACGAGTTTGTTATGTCCTGGCATTCCTAAGCCTGTGTGTGTGTGATCAGAAATGTTAAGATTAAACTATTCATGGCTGACACATAAAAATTCAGAAGCAGAAATGTACAGACAAAGCATTTCATAAAGTGAAAGGACCACACATTGAGAAATTAGTGTTGCAACTTTTACCTTATTACTTGTGAAGTTGCCTCTCCCATGCCCCCTACTGGGACCCTGACTGGGAATCGAACCAGCAGACCTTTGATTCGAAGGGCAGCACTCAGCCACTGAACCACACCAGTCAGGGCAGCAGTGTTGCTTTTTAAAACGGAAGTTATTCAACTTAGAAGCAGCAGCCACCAAGTGTGCTAATACCGCACTATGGAATTTAACCTCATTCTTGCATACATGGGTGGGCTAGCTTGCTATTTTTTTTAAATACTAACTTTTAAAAATACCTATTCAAAGAATTTGACAATGAGTGAATATTCATTTGTGAGAGCTCTCTAAAAAAGTAGCAGTAATTTTCCTGATATCGAATTACTAAAAAGTAAAAATATCCTCAGTTATTTGAAATGGTATAACCCATACTATCAAAACTAGACTTGGCGACAGGTACACCTTTGTTAATAAATGTTAAAGTATGTCATAAAATGTACTTGAAGCTGCCTCTTTAGAAGGCTGGTAAGTGAGATAGTTTAAAAAAAATTTAAAGACATTTTGCTGTTTATCACATTTTAAAAAAGATTTTATTTATTTATTTTAGAGAGATGGGGAAGGGAGGGAGAAAGAGAGGGAGTGAAACCTCAGTGTGTGGTTGCCTCTAGCACACCCCACACTGGGGACCTGGCCTGCAACCCAGGCGTGTGCCCTGACTGGGGATTGAACCTGCGATGCTTTGGTTTGTAAGCCTGCGCTCAATCCACAGCTATACCAGCCAGGGCCTATTCATCACATTTCTGATTGTATGGAAGAACTAACTACCCATGAGGTCTGTGTCAATTAAACTGTGGTGAACAGAATATGCTGATATATTTTATACCATTAACTTGCTAATATTACATATTAACAATCTATTACTCAAAACAAGTGTGGCCCTGGCCCAGGTGGTTGAAGTGTCATTTTGTGTACTGAAAGGCTGCCAGTTCAATTCCTGGTCAGGACACATATCTAGGCTACAAGTTCGATCCCCGGTTGGGGTACATTCAGGAGGCAACCAGTTGATGTGTCTCTTTGGCACTGATGTTTCTCTCTCTCTTAAAATCAATGGAAACATGTCCTTAAGTGAGGATTAAAAAAAAGAAGAAAAAAAGAAAAGCCGAGTGTGGCAAAGCCGAGTGTGGCACTGGCTCTTTCCCTTCTATGCTGTGGTATTTCAATGAAATTTAGTTTTCAAACAAATCTCAAGAGTATCAAAAACTAGATGTTACCTTTTTAACACCAATTTGGACAGCTCTCTGTATTACATCTTGTAAGTCATCTGTAAAAGTTGAACCCCAAAGAAAGTCCAGTAAGTAAATATCCATTTATCTATATAATCACATTTACTAATCAAATCAAATCAATACTATTTGATGAGCATTTATCCTATAATAATAATAGTGATAAACCTTTTAAAAAAAGAAAAAGAAACCTGTATAAGGCAAACTAGATAAAACTTTCCATTTGGTTGTATTTCTGTTCTGCTGGCCACAAGGAGGAAAGCGACAAAACTCAGAAGGTTCAAATTGAAGACAAATGCCTTCCTTACAATTTATGTCATTTGCCTTGAATTTTGAACTTGTTGGTAAATTTTTTAAATAAAAATAGTCATTAAAATTATTTTTACTATGGCTTTTCAGAGTATACCTGCAATGTCTCCCAAAATACAACACCTATTTTTAAATTTTAGTTAATGCTGATTTCTTAATTACCATTCCCATTGAGGAAGGTTAATTTTTTATTTTCTCTGACAGTGGGCTTTTTTTTTGCTTTTTTCCTATAATTTACTGTCAAATAACAAACTTTTTGGAGAGGTCAATAGTAATTATAAGCTTTGAGAGGCCCGAGGCAAGTGAACAGCACAATTAAACAGTTATATCATAAAAACTGATTTCTTAATTTCATATTTAAGCATCACAGTGAATGTGATTGGAATTCAATTACTATTCCAGAGTAGCTATAAAATTTGAGACAAAGAATATCAACTTGGAATGAATACTAAGTAGAACAGCCAGTCTTGCTAGTTATTGTAAATTAGAGTAATACTGATATTGATCACTATGAAACTTACTTCATAAACACACATATACAAACATTCATATACACAGAGTACGAAGCATGAAATCTAAGTGCTAAAAGGCAAGAAAAGCAGAATATAATTTATTCAGCATTCTAACTACTGTATAAGTAATGTCATTTAAATGTCTAAACGAAGCAGGAAAGCTAAGTTTTGAGGTAAGGGTTAGAGGAAAGCTAACACTTAGCTTATCTTCTTTCTAGTGACACCTAACATTTCCTATACTTAGTGTTTTCTCTTAGCATAGCCTAGAAGCACAGTAAGATTAACTTCTGACTCAGCTGTTGATATGTGCAATTCTCTATCATCCCAAACCACAAAACCAACTTTTCCTGTTTTCACTTACATTATAACAAATATAGTCATTTTCTGAAGCAATATTCACAGGCTAGTTTACTGGAGAAATTTTGCTTTCATAAATGTGCCGTCATCATTTCCTGCTTAGTCACCTAGCTCACATAATAAGCCTTTAAAATGAACCTGATGTGATCAACAGAAACCATTTTGCTTTTGGCCGAGTTTTCCATCAATCTTGGAGGCACTACTCTTCCCACCTGTACAGCAGGACTTGGCTGGGAAGGAGGAGAGGCAAGCCAGGGAGAGGTGGAACGCAGTGCACCGCCCCCTAAACCACATCGCTACTTAAGTCACCCAGCAGAATGTTTTAGGAAAACCAGACCTTATACTGATGTTCCACTGTACATGACCTTTAAATTATGTGCCTTACTGTTCAATTGCTGGAAAGATTAAACACCAACTAAGGTCTGGCTTTTGCACATATGGTTAAAGTTCTATGTTCCAAATTACAAACTTCTAGCTAAGGGCTTGATTAACACTTTGTTATAAGTGCTTTATAAGTGTTCGTTATCAAGGTTAATCAATGTAGCTTCATAGGTGTTTCACTTTGTTTACAATTTTATCCAAGATGCAGAAGTCCTTTAATACTTCAATTGTAAGAGTGGATCGTGCTTTTCTAGATCTCCTCGAGGCAGACAATTCATTTTCACAGAGAAACTATTAACCTTAATAGAACATTTACCTTGGTGCTTTTGAACCCCCCTATAAATTCCTCTGAACATAGGATCTGTCAAGTTGATACCAATATCTGTGGAAAGCAAAAATAAAATACGTGATGAATCATGAAGAGCCTCTATATGAAAGTTTCTCCTTAAATAAAAGCTCATTATGAAACTTTCCATCCCCACATGCATTCAAACAAAATCTGAGTGTCCACAGCCTATCCATCACTATGCCTGACACCTGTGATACAAAGACGAGGAAGAGAGAATTCCTGCTGTCAAGGACCTGCACTCTGGGAAGGCACACACATTAATGGACAATTAAGAAATATGAAAAGCAGGCACTGGTACTGTGGGACACAAGAGGAACACCCAACCTGGTCTGGTCGCTGGCCCAAAAGAGACTTCCAGAAAGAGGGGGTCCCTGAACTGAATCTTAAAGGCTGAGTCACGGTCACCCAGCAGAAGAGGGGAAATTGCAGCCAGAAGCAGCAGCAGGAGCAAGGCCTCAGTGGTGTGAAATGGCACAATGACTATGGAGAACTACAGGCCACTCTGGCTGCTGGAGAAAAGTGCAGGGAAGGAGCAAGCGGGAGAGGCCAGACTCTACTGTGTCACAGCCTCCTGTCTTTAAAATACCAGAGGCAACAAGAAGCACTGACAGCTTTTAAGGAGAGGAGTAAGATGTGCATTCTGGACATCTCCTTCCAGAGTCTTTGTGGAGGGCAAAATTTGAAGGGAGCAACTAGAGTCAGGATACCTCCTTTAGAAGTAGGCAAGAGCTCATATCTACAGTGAAGAGAACCTGGACTAGGATAATGCAAGTAAAGATGCAGAAAGAAGAATAAATCATTAATTTCCTCTAGTCATCAAATATCCACAGAGAACAACTCTGCCAAATCCTGTGATAAGGGGTGAGGGAACACAGAAATAAGTAAGACCCACCACGTGACCCGTGCCCTCCAGAAACTTCTAGTCTACATGGGAACTACAATATAATTTGTGATATAATAAGCAGACTGTAAGCAATGCAAGGCACAAAATGTTAATCTTCATTACTGTATCCCTAGAACCTAGCACAATGGTTTTGCAAAAATAAAATAAACGGAGCCACTTTAAAACAGTCAGCACTGCCACCTGGAGGAGCTGCCTTGCACATCTTACTTCTCAAATCTTTGGAATGTTTAAACTGGACAAAATAACCTTTGGGCTGGGCCAAACAACTGTTTACAAAGCTAACAGGAGAGCAGAAATCCTGGCACCTTTAGAAGTAGCACCACCTTGTGTAGCTAAATAACTTCGCTTACTGACCCAGCAGGAATTCCTTCCCTGGCTCATTAACACCAAAAGAAATTCCTTTCTTCTATTCTATCACCATCCCTTTCTCCCAAGTACTCCTTACCTTTACCCCATAACTGGAACACTTTCTAGGTTTTCTGCCTGTATCAGCAAAATAGTTTCTGCTTCCCAGAAGTTCAATTCTTTTTGGTCTCAAATGCATGCTTGTTGCCTCTCACCTTGGCTTTTCATTTTAGCACAGGAGCACAAAAAAGGGGAAGTAACAGTTTGGGCAGCATGATGAGAAAAGCCTATCACACAGAAAAGGTAATCTTGCAGCTAAAACGAATGGAAAGAGCGTTCTGTGTGCAGATGTGTGCAGGTACAAGACTGGAAGAAACTCTGAGCCTGTAGAGCACTGGTTCTCAATGAAGAGTGATTTTGCAGTCCCCTCTTCTTTTCACTTCCTCGTCCCCAACATTTAGCAATGTGCTGACCATGTATATTCATTTCAAGTTGTCACAACACAGGGAGTGCTACTATCATCTAGGCTTGAGGCCATGGATGCTGCTAAATAATCCTACCATGCAGTGACAAGATAGCCTCTTGCAACAGAGGTTTATCCAACCCACACTACCAAGGGCAGTCCTCCATAAATCCTGCTGTAACATATAAGAGAACAAGGGGAAGAACAAGACATGAAGCCAGAGTGTGATGGCCGTGGGCAATAAAAATGCCATCCTTATTTGAAATACACACCCTTCAGCTTTTAGCTCTAGGAAAATCTCCAAGTTTGTGGTGGGGGGTAGGGGGGTAGACCCTACATTATTTTTGCTGAGCTTCAGCTTCTTCTTACTATATTCTCACTCTGCTTCTGCCAAGCTGGCCCTCAGTGAGCTCTGCTGCTTCAACATTAAGACAGGCCTTGCAAGATGAACGAGAGTTTGGATAATTCAAGAGATGGTAGAGAGTATTCCAGGCATTTGAAACAAGAAAAAAACACAATGCAGAAAACTTCTAGGACATGCAACAGCATATCTGTGATGGAGGGTGGGAACTGAGTTCACAACAGGTACCTTTTAAAGGGCTGTTAACAGCCCTGGTGGTTTGACTCAGTTGGTAGGAGCATCATCCTATAAACCAATAAATCATGAGTTCAATTCCCAGAGTACATATGTAGGTTGCAGATTTGGTCCTGGGGATGTACGGGAGACGCAACCTATCTATATTTCTCTCCCTCCCTTTACCTTTCTCTAAAATCAATAAGTATATCTTCAGTGATTTAAAAAAAAAAGCTATTAACACACAAATTATCAAATACCATGAATACAAATTCAGCAGAATGGCCCAGATTACAAGAAATCAGTATCTACTTTCTTTCCATAGGGAAAGTAAATAAGATAGGGAAGGGGCAGACTGGGAAAGGAAACCCAGGGGAGAGAGGAGAGGACTTTCTGTCTGGAACAGGGGTGTCAAACTCATTTTCACCGGGGGCCACATCAGCCCCGTGGTTGCCTTCAAAGGGCCAAATGTAATTTCAACTCCTTAATAGTTAAGGAGTAGTTACATTTATACAGTCCTAAAATTATTTTGGCCCTTTGAAGGCAATCGCAAGGCTGATGTGGCCCCCAGTAAAAATGAGTTTGACACCTCTGCTATGGAATAATCTTTCACACGGGTCAGTTTAGTAATCCACCATGGGTTATTAGGAGCGCAGAATGGGTCTGCATCTCATGCCCATTTTCCCTTTGTGCAGCAAAGAAAGAATTTTTGCAAAGCAATCTTATCCTGGAAAATGAAGTGAAAAACAAATGCAACCCAAAAGCAAACCAATTTAACAAGTAAACTTTCTGATATTAATTTTAAAATTGAATGGAAGATTAGTTTAAAGCCTCAATTTGTGAAGCCTCCAAGTCTTTGTCTCAACCCTAACAGGAATGGATGCTAAATCCTTCCTCAAAGCTTACTCACCCTGAGAACAATTCCAGGGGATCCCACTTCTTACAACCTGCCACTCTCCCACTTAGGTCAGTCTTTTCAGGCCTTAGGCCACAATGTACTTCAAACATCTATATTCAGCCTTGGACCCACGCGAGCCCTGGGCTTTAGGATATCTTGCACAACCACCAGTTTCTTCCCTTTTCTGCAACAAACTCTTCTGACTGTAGCCCTAAACCCTTTTCTTTTTGACATACAGTTTGTTGAAAGTGTATTCCTCAGCTACTTATTAGAGCTGCTTTCTTTGCTTTGATGAATAGGCTCCAGCACTTACGTTTGCTGATTGTGTCGAGAAATGCCATCCCAAAATATGCAGCTCTGGCATGTGACTTTAAGCTGAATGCACTTGAGAAATAGCAAGCACAGGGGTCCGGAAAAAGGGAAACTACTTGTTATTGCAAAGGCATGTTTTATCAGGTATGTTATCCCATACACAAAAGACAACAGGTTCAGGTAAGGTGAGGACTGACCTTTGTTTAGGGAAAAATACTGCCTTAGGACATGACTACCCACCATGAACCACTGTTAGTTAGAAAGTTTTAATTTCCAACCATCCCCTGGTTAACAGGGGCCATCCCCTGGACCCTTTTCTTCCACAACTCAAAAAACAGTAAAGAAATACTGTATGAAAATCTATTTCTATCCAGCTCCAGCCAAAGATAATAAACAACTTGAAAAACTAATGAAATGAGAGACAGGAGTGAGAATGACCTGAGTTTTTTTTTTTTTTTTTAAAGGAAGGGCAATGATTTTCCTGGAAAATGATTACTTCTGATTTGGGGAACGGGGGGGGGGGGGGGGGCAATTGAAGGGTTCATATATTTGGTGGCATGTCACCTTACTTATACAGATCTTTTCGTATAAGAATTCATACATTTGAAGTTACAGACTTGTTTTTTTAACTGGCTGACTTTAAAAGCAATACCAGCTTTACTGTTAAAGGACGCTTCCAGTATTAGTGAGTTTTCTTTTTCAAAACAATATGAGAGTGAAAAGATGTTTGCAACCAAAAGAAAACCATATCTCTAAACAGATACTGTTCTGGGAGAAATGTGGTTCTTGCCAACGCAGTAAAGAATTACAGATCAGCAAGCCTATTCGCATGTAAGCCTGGTTTATTAATGATACATTCTCATGGAAGAGAACACGCCTTGCTGAGGTAGAAGTAAAAGGCACAGGTTCAGGGTGTAAAAGGCAAGGTGAGGACAGCAAGAGCATCAGGTCCTTTGTTCTCAGGACTTATGTAGTTGGTGCGATACAGGTGAAGAGGTTATGCTGATTGACGGGTAAAGGTGGTGCCAGTTTCCCCAGAGAAGACATGACCACCTAAACTTAGGTATGCGTGGTGGTTTGTTAGCCCAAATTCTTATCTTGCTCTAGACCACACTTGGTCATCTTGTAAAACAGATACATGACAGGAGGCAGTTAACTAAAGTTGGGGAGATTACCCAAAGTTATTTATAGGCTATTTCTGTAAGCACTAGGGACTCCCTCTTAAAACAGGCAGTGACCAGAGGTAGGGCAATTAACCAAAGTCACTTTATGAGCTTTTCTTTGGGCACTATGGATCCTTTCCCGCCTTCCAGGCCTTGGGATAAATACAGTTTCAAAGGCTTTCCCAGAGTGGAAACGATACAGAGGATTTCGAGGGCTCCTCTTCTCCCAAGCTAGCAAGGTGTTTCCTGTGATGTTGGAACACCTGGCAATATTATGGGACAGGCTCAGGACTGCTGAGTTAGTGGGTGAGACATGTCTCCTCTACTCCCTGCCTTGGTTTACTATCTAACCTACCTAACAATACCTGGCTGTCTGGGCTTGATGAGTCAAGTCATATCGCTGTCGCCTACAATGTAGGAACACAAAGGGTCAGGAAACAGCATTTTAAAATTGTTTTAGACTTGCTTTGCTTTTAGATATAACTCTACAGGAATTATAGGAAATAACTCCAGGAGTTAAAGTTTACAGGAAATACAGGACTTCAGAGAACAAGCTAGACACCACCACATAGCAAACAGACAAATCCACAAGACAACTAGCCAAGAAGCTCCACTGTCTACACAGTAAACTAAGCTCACCAAAAACACTGGACAACCGATCCTAGCTCTCACAACGTCCTCAGGTCTTCCTAGGTGCCTGGCAGTAACTATTCTTATCCCTCCGGTTCTCGTGGCCACGGAGAGGGTAAGTGGTGGGAGGTGCACGTGGGATAGAGGAGAATATAGTGACTGGCCTCTTGTTTGTTTTTAAGTAGTTTAGCTTTCTTTTTCCTTTTCACTGAACACTACGTTATAAGCAGCACAAATCAACCGTACCACTCGGGAACTCTCGCAAATAAGCACGCCTTGAAGCGAGCACCTCCGCAGAGAATCAGAACCTGACCCAGAATCTTCTGGGTCTCAGGCGCAGACGCCGCCGGCGGCCCCTTGGCCTGAGAGCCCCTGCAACCTCCAAAAACCTCTTCCTGGGCCTTCTGGCCCCGACGAGCAACTCCCGGGAGTAGACAAAAAAACCCTGGGGGCCGGAAAAACAACTTACCCACGAACTTGAAGGGACTCATGACTGCGGTGCTGCTCTTTCCCCAGCGGAAGCGGAAGTGGCGCCGACCGTCCCGCCTCCTAGCCGCCGGCTTTCCGTTTCCCGGGAGCCCCCGCGGCTGCTGAAGGTGAGCAGGCTGTCATGGCGTTTTCGGTGCCGGCGGCCTACTTGACCCACCAGCAGAAGGTGTTGAGACTTTATAAACGAGCGCTGCGCCACCTGGAGTCCTGGTGCATCTACAGGTGGGGAGCGGTGACCTAGGACGGGGGGATCTGACTCTGGGGACCCCCAAGGAGGCCGAGTTCCAGACGGACGGGGCGTCTCAAGGACGTAGGGAAGGGACTGGGAAGGCGGCCCTTCGCCCCACAGGGTCCGCCCATATACCCGGGTTCAAGTGCAGACCTCCTCGACCTGGGCTGCGAGACCTTGAAGAATTGCTACTTTGGCTCAGGCGTCAGTTTTCTAAGGATGCAGTGCCTAAGGGCTGCATGACGGTTCTAAGAAGTAAAGGCAAGTTCCTAAAACTGCAGTTGTCACGCCCGCAGTGCTTCCTGAGTAATAGCTGTCTTCATGACCTCGTTCCTGATATTAACAGTAGTAATATGTGCAGTATTTTCTCAGGTCTTCACAACAATTCTGGGAGTTAGGGACTGTTTAGCCTTACTTTACAGATGAGGAACTAGAGGCATAGAGAGAAACTTGCTCAGGGCATTGTAGCTGGTAAGTGGCCAAACCAGGATTAAAACTCAGGTGTCTAAGTCCAAAGAATCATCAGTCTCCCAGCTTCCCATCAGCTTTCTTCTTCTTAGCCTTATCCAGCCCATTTCACGACCTTCACCTCCTACAACTTCCCCTGCCACACAACTTCTTTCCTCTATCCCTCTGAGGCTAGTCTGAGAACATAGTATAAAACATAGATTTCTTTTTTTCCCATGACCTAGGTGAGATGACCACCCAGTTGGGTGAATGCCAGACCTCCACTCCTTTATCAGAACCCTAAACCCCATCCCAGGAAAAGAGCTTCTGGGAAAAACCTCAAACGGATGGAACAGGTCTGGACGAGTAGGCAACATTTCTAATCTCCAAAATCATTTCGGTTTAAGGGACAAATACCGGTACTTTGCATGTTTGATGAGGGCTCGGTTTGAAGAACATAAGAATGAAACGGATATGGTGAAGGCCACCCAGCTGCTGAGAGAGGCGGAGAAGGAATTCTGGCACAACCAGCATCCTCAGCCATACATCTTCCCGGACTCTCCTGGGGGTACCTCCTACGAGAGATACGAGTGTTACAAGGTAGGTGAGGTCCACACCAGCGGCTGCACTCTGAGAGGTGGACTTGGTGGCCCCGGTTGCAGTTACCCTTTAGGGACAGTGAGATTGCTTCCCTGACGGGTGCAGACACTTTTCTTCAGGTGTCAGTTTTCTCTCTCCCAGATGACATAAGACTTTTGTTTCTAAATTCAGTTTGCAGTATCTTTCTTGGCAAAGCAGGGTGCTAAAGTACTTGGTAAAACCCATTTTTGGACCTGAAGGTAAACCAACTTGGATTGGTGCTTATTATTTCCAAGAAATTCTAGGTGATAGTTCCAAAGAACATAAACCCACTCAATGTTTAGGGAAGAACTGAAATGATGGCCGTTTTTTCTGGCCTGACCTTGCTGGTTTTCAACCCCAGGCTGTTTCACTCTAAGCCGGGGTGTCCAGCCTTTTGGTGTCTCTGGGGCCACACAGTAAATACATTGTGACACATAATCACACAAGAAAAATCTCATAACGTTTTGAGCTAATTTATAATTTTGTGTTGGGCTGCGTTCACAGCCATCCCAGGCCGCAGGCAGCCTGCAGGCCGGGGGTGGGACTCCCTGCTCTAAGGCATTCTCTTTATGTTGGTGCCTGCTTGTCTTCTGCTCTTCATTGCCTGGTGTCAGAAACAGTCTGGGACTTGGCAGTAGTTATCACCATCACCTTGAGTTTTGTCTTGTGTAGGACCTATCAGTGGTGTGTAACTGTATCTTGTGTAATGATGTCGTGATTTTTCTCTCCTAACAGGTTCCTGAGTGGTGCTTAGATGACTGGCATCCTTCGGAGAAGGCAATGTATCCCGATTACTTTGCCAAGAGGGAGCAGTGGAAGAAACTGCGGAGGGAAAGCTGGGAGCGAGAGGTGAGTCTGCCCTGCATTTTACTGTATCGTTTAGCCACGTGGTCAACACCGGGGAGGGGCTCAAGTTTTGTTCCCCACTGAGGAGGTCCAGGGTCCAGGTATGACAATTACTCTGGCCCCTTGCCTTTCACACATACTTCATTTCTAAGTGAGTTAAATGTAACATTTACAACCATCTGCCAAATAGGTTATACTGTCTTGCCTGGTCTTTTGGGTTTTCTGGTCTCAAATTTTGCCTCCTCCCCCTCAGTCCTTTACCTGACCTTGCCGTTTTTACCTGAGCCCCGTTATCACTCACCCTCCCTCTCCACCATTCCTTGAACACTTTGCAGTCGTATGATGTCTGCTTTACATTTCCGACCTCAGTCCTGCTGTAGTGGGAAGGATAGATTGGAGAGGGTACAGTGAGGAGTGGAGAGGCCGATCTGAGGTTGCTGCAGTTCAGTCAAGGTTCTGACAGCCAGCACCCAGGTGGATATGGAGTGAAGCAGGTTCAGGGGATGGTTTGGAGGGGCATGGAGATTGATTGGATGGTTGGGGGGGAGGGGGGAGGGACCCTGAGAACTCAAGAATTTCTAGCTTTTCAGCTTTACCATCGAGTTTGGCAATGGTGTTGATTGATACAGAAGGTGGGGGAAGCAGGTGTCAGGACAATCAGGTGCTGTTTTAAGTGTGTTAAATTGAAGAATGTTAAATTTGAGAAGCCTGTGAGACATCAAAGTCAGATGTCAGTAGGTGATATTGGATAGAGGAATCTGGGCCTCAGTGGAGAGATTTGAGCTTGAAATAGAAATTTGAGCTGACTGTTGTTTTCAAAGCCACGGAAATGGATGAGAACCTTACGGGAGACTAGAGAGAGAACAGTTGCAGGCACTCCCACCTGTAGAGGTCAGGAAAAGGAGACTGCGGAGCATCCGGCAGGGGAGAAGGGCAGTCGTGGGGGTGGGAGTAATACAGTGTCCAGGAGAAGGTGTTTCAGGCCAAGTCATCTTTGCTGGAAGTTGCTAAAAGGTGGAACAGAGTCAGGACTGGAAATAATGTCTAAGGAGTTTGGATACAGGAAGGGCATCAGTGGGCTTGACTGGACGCTCCTCTGGAGAGCTTAATCATACTGACAGCAGTGAGCAGAAAGTGAGGAAAGGACAGGAGAGCTAATTCTTGGGAAGTTTTGCTGACAACAGTCCCCGGAGGCCAAGGGATTATTTATTTCCTAAGACAAGAAACAGTGGTGGTATATGCTGATTAGATGTGGGGGCGAGGGAGAAGCTGATGATGTCGAGGCATGGGATGGGCGGGGCAGGAAGTCTTTCAGAGGAGGCCTGGGGTCCCAGGCATGTACGGAGGCCTTGGCGTGAGCATTTGGAAACTGGAGGTGTGCTGACTGTCGGCGAGCGGCAGGTTCATACTGCAGGTGACCACTCCTGCGCTTCCTCCTCTCCACAGGAACCTTCCTGCTTTGCTGTTGTCCGTTCCACATTATCAAACAGCACATGTGCTGGAGGCTCAGGTTAACCATACCCCAGAAGTGATTCTTCTGGAAAACGGGTCTCTAGGTTTCCTCCGTTATTAGGACCATGATAATCTTAGAGATTCCTGGAACCGGGGGTAGCTGGGCAACATCAGGCAGAACCAAGCATGTTTTTACGTGATTTTGTGTTACTTCTTGTCCTGGTTGCTATGGGGGTGAGGCTTTAAAGTTAACATCCTTAATGTGTATGAAATTCAGATTTCATAGTGGTGCTTTTGGAGAACATGTAGCCAAGACACACACATTTTTATTGGGAGAGGGATACAGGTCGGGGTGGTAACAAGGGGAAATGGAACAGTAATTGTCATGGTTTTGGTTAATGAATAAAGTGGGATGGGGGGCTGTTTTCTTAGCTTTGCTGTTTTGCTAGCAGGAAAGGCATTGAGAATGCCTTTTCTGAGTTGAGGTGCGGGTAGAAAAGTAAAGCAGGCATGTGTAACAAACACTGCTTTCAGCAGCGAGGCTCAGAGAGTGTGCAGTGCGACGGACAACGGGAAGAAAGGCTCACTGCAGTGGACTGCACAGTGCAGCTCCTTTTCTAATCGTTCCTTCCTGACCCCTTCCAGGTTAAGCAGCTGCAGGAGGAAACCTCGGCCAGTGGTCCCAGCACTGAAGCTTTGCCTCCAGCCCGAAAGGAGGGTGATTTGCCCCCACTGTGGTGGCATATTGTGACCAGGCCCCGGGAGCGGCCCGCATAGAAAAAGACAGAGGAAGACAGCACCTCACTAGCCATGCCTGCAAGTGAAATAATTTATAGGCGAAAGACACACTTGCCCTAATAAAAGTAACAAGGTATGACTGATGTGTTCTTCTGTCTGAGGAGTAACATGCCACTGTGCCACTGTCTTACCAGGTGTGCATATAAAGGAAAGTATGGAAAATGCGGCCAGTCAGAGGAGTTCTTTTGTCCCCCATTAAGTTGTATAGATAGCACTTGCTTTCAGTAAGGGAAAGCTGTATAGCGGAAGCCAAACAAGGTTTACTGTGAAGATTCAGCTGAACACACTAGTTGAAGGCTTTATTTAACCCTTGTGTCTAGAAGGAACATGAAGCTGAGAAGAGAAGGTAGCTAATACTAGGACTTATAATACTGTCTTAGTTTTCTAAAGATTCTGTGATGGAATTTTAGTTTCGATTAAACGACAACTTTCTAAGAAGCACACATTCAGCAAATCAGCCTGGAGTTCATGGGGTCCTCTCAGAAGTGGAGGTTTGGTAAGTGGGGTTAAAGGGCCCGATCTGGGATGAAACTTTTTTGTGACAGTTATTTTAGTGGCAGTTTTCCAGCTTTGCTTCTTCTACCACAGCTGGGATTGTCTGTGGACTCAAAGGTAAGGGCTCAGCAGGATTCTACACATTTGAAGAAGTTTCTTTCAAAGGTAAGGCCATTCTAAAAACGGCCAACCAGACCCAGCTGCCTTTGGCTCTTGACAGCTCTTTGGAACTGCACTCAATAATCAGTTCAGGGACAGCTGTCCTTGGCTCCAAACCATCACAGAAAGAATGGTGTTTTCTAAGTAAGCTTAGTCAGTCTCAGTCCATTTTCTAACGTTTGATGAAGATCAGTGGATTTTAATAAGACTTGAAATACAGGACTCTTTCTAGTGGTTCTTTATTTATAGTGTAGACTGAAGCAATTGTTACAAGGTAGAAGGAAAACACATTACACAATTGTTATTTATACAAGTTTAGAACAAAAAACGGCACAGGGAGAGGTCAACTCTCAGTACAAACTAGCAACTAAACACCAATAATTTACCTTAGAAACGATTTCTTTATTTTTAGCTGTGACACTGCTTTTACAATATGCAAAAACACAAACAGGACTACCCAAGGTGTTTCGTCACATTCTTTCTACATTGAATTTGGCAACGTTTTATATTAAATTTCTTCAGATTATACTAACGTTTAAAAACTAAACAAGTGAAAAGCTGTACCAAGGTACAGTCACATCCATTTATCTCAAAGGTTTAAAATACCACTTTTATCTACTGTAATCACCTTGTTGTGATTTCTGCTTTTGCAAAAACCATCTCAAGCGTCATATGCACAATGCATCAGCTACTTTTAGTTGTCAAGATTGGTGGGCTAAACCACAGGCACTACTGTTGCTTACAGTCTGTAAAAGGAGCTTGTTTTTCAAAGGGGAAAAAAAGCTTAAATAGTTTCTAATAATCATGCCTTTGCTTTAAAGCCATAACATAAAATGTCCTTGAGCAATCACAGCAGTGTTACATGTTAATATATAGAACAGTGACTATACAGGTATGTTACTCTCACATCCAATGCAGTTATGTATTAAAGCATAAGATTATGTCATTGAAGATACAAACCAACAGAAATCTGCAGGGTCTGTGGGACCCACCTGGCTCCTACCTCCTGACAGCTTCCGTCAAAAGGGAGCACTTGCAACTGACCCAACTGCTAAGGCGTTCGCTTCCTTTTTCATGTTTGTATTCTCCAAACACGATCCCTCTGAATCTACAAATCCCTGTTGGCTTTAGGGGACAAGCATTATAACAAATTTAACTTTCACTTAAAGAAGAAGACATAAATCCATTCCAAAATACATTACCTAGAATACAAAAAAAAAAAGGGACAATCTAGTGGTCAGATTCTGAGTGACAATAAATAAATCCTCCTCTCTTCATTGTTTAGTATGAAGCCAATCAAGAAAAACAAGCCCCCGTTGGTAAACACATCGGCAAGTTGCTGGACTCTAAGCTGGTTACTCTTGTTAAATCCACTCAAGTTTTTTCAAAATATTTGGGCTTTCCAATGTGCCCAGCCTGCTGGGCACAGTTAAGTAAAAGGCATTTGCTATTATCTAAGAATTCCCTGCTATCGTGTGTAAGTGTTTTCACATTTTTGAAACTGCCTTACCCTCTTGGATGTACTGGATTCAATGAAAACAGGTGTAACAGACGAGTAACTAAGGGGGGGGGGTTCTATGTCTACCTGGTGGCAGCAGCATGCAGGGGACTGGGGGTGGGCGCTGTGTGCAGCCGAGAGGAATCGTGGGAGAAAGGACTTCCTTCAACACCCTACGGAAACAAACACTGCAGTCCAGTATGGCTTATTGGGATGCATTAACCATGAAGCTACTAGAAATTCAACCTACGAGGCTACTCTTAAATGTGACAGGATCGGCTATGTTGAAAGTGTGCCCCTCCCTGGCCCTCCCCCCAATCCCAACAGTCCACCGTCTCCAGATTCACTCCCCTCTGCATATTGCTCATCAACTCTTACTACTGCTTCGCTCCTTCAGAACAGAGTATATTTAAATGAAGAATTTACCCCTTACCATTTTGTTTGTACATTAAAATAACTTGAATTTGCTTCTAGGCCAGACTACTAACTACAGTGCATCTACAAAAGCTTGCAGGGGAAAAAGAAAAGAAAAAGCTACCCCTTTTTTCTGAAGTTAACTACTTCATGATTCCCCTGCCCTGCCCCTCCCCCCCGTTATGCATTTAAAATTTTACAAAGACTTGTAAAAAAGTTAAATGGAATTTGGCACCTTCAGAAAAATCAAAAGGGAAGCTGAGATTAAAATGTGCAGAAAGAAAATTGTCAATATTTACAAATTAAAAGATCAAGGTCGTGTCAGTTAAATGTTGCTTTTAATTCTTATCTAAAGGTGTCAAGTACGTTCAAAAGAGCTGTATTCTGAGTTGCCTACAAAATCTGTTTGATTATAGGTTGGAATGGATCAAGACAAATTAGGTTTTATTAACTCAACAGTTCATTCCCCACTGGCAGCATTTCCAATGCACCTAAGAGAAGCGAGGGGCTGAACGGTCGTTCGTCATGGTCTTCTTCAGCTTCACGCCCCTTCGGATGGCGTTCAGCATGTCTTCTCCTTGCGGGGTGTCTCTCGGGCTCAGGTCTGCGGGGTCGCTCTCTGGAGCCCGGCCCGGGGAGGCGGTGGCACTGGCAGGATCCCTTTCCTGGTCTTCAGCCTCGCTTTCCGGAATCGCCTGTCTGTGCTCCTCCAGGATGCTTGGCTTCGGGCCTGGAAGAGGAGGGTTGACGGAGGCTTGGCCACTCCACAGTGAGGAGGGGATGCTGGTGACACCCTGGGGGCCCTCAGCCACAGACGGTGACTCGGGACTGTGCTCACCCCGCTCCTCTGGCCCATCCAGGGGGGCTGGCAACACCCCAGGGAGGTCTGGTACGGTTGGGGTCTTCACAGGGATCACGGGCGTCTTGATGGGAATGGGACCGGCTCCAATGGTCCCCCGGCGGACAGAAGGCTTGGTGGAAGGGGTCCGTCGGATGGTTGCAACCCCTGGGGTGACCATAGCAGGTCCGAGGGTGGTGGGGAGGCCAGCAGTGGAGGCCGGGCGCTTGGCTTGGAACATCCGTCGGTAGGACTGGCTGATGTCACTGTTTCTTGGAATGGTGGAGGATTTGTCAAACTCCTGCTGGTCTGCCTCCTGGTCACCACTTACAGAGAAATAATCGTAATCTGAAACTGATGATAGGATTTGATTAGGAATCTTGAAGGCAGCAGGTTTTGCTTTCAGATTCTTTTGTGTTGGGTGGTCAAAAGGTCCGGGAGGCAAGGAGGCACAGTCTTGTCCCAAGCCTCCCCTGGGCTTCCGTGCTGTCCTCAGAAACTGGACATGGAACCTGCTAGGCAGGGACCTTCGTCTGGTCACTGATACAACCCGGGGCCCCAGCACAGTGCTGGACATGGGAGGCGCATTCCTCCACAGTACCGTGGAGGGGTGACAAATGTCAGGCTGCCAGGCTGAGGCTGAGCTACCCCCAAGCATCTCTGGGAGGAATGAGGGCGTGGAAAGAAATCCCACAAACCCTCCAGACCAGAATTCAGCGTGAGAAACGTAACCTCAACCAGACTACCTCAGACCCTACCAGCTCCCTTATAACAAGCTCCTTAGGTATGAGCTACTGGCAATGGATCCCTGAAAACAGGTACAAAGTAGGTTCCACCAATGGAGTGTGCTCACTTTTTCTCAAGAAGTGGTGTCACGTGGGAGGGAGAGGCTTACAGATGAGAGCAGGTTTCTGAATGACAGCACTACTAGCCCTGTGGACGGGATGAACTCCTTGCTGCAGGTGGGTAAGGGAGATGTGCTGGGCATTGGGGGCTGTTCGGCAGCACGCCTGGCCCCTACTGGAGGCCCGCGGCACCCCTCCAGTTGTGACAGCCCGAAACGTCTCCAGACACTGCCAAAGGTCCTCTGGGAAGCACATCCCTGTCTTAGAGGCTTTGGCCATTGAAAGGCAAATAGTCTTGGTCAGTTAACACAGACCTATTCTGGCTGCTGCTCTATTGCCATCCTGCTGGCCTGTGTGTTCCGTGGGGACGGGGTGAGAGGGTACGGTGGTTGATGGAGGATTTGGGTTATGAACTTGGGCTCCAGACTCTAACAGGCCTTAGGGGCCAACTCCAGCTCTACTCCTTATTAGTTGTGTGAATTTGAGCAACTTACAGAGACTCAGTTTCCATGTATATAAAATGGGGATAAAAATGCTTATTATATAAGTGGTTGTGAACATCAAATTGGAAAATAAAGTGCTAGAACACAAATGATGTTATTAACAGCAATCCGTCTGAGTTCAAATTGGGAACTACCTTGTACCCTGATGGTGAAAAACAAGTTGCAATAGTGCAGTCGTGTCCTTAGATGGCAGCTACCCGACAATGACAGATCAGCTCTCCAAAGCCATTCCAAGGTGACGGAGAGGGTGCTGAAGCCGGTCTGGTAGCCGGGGCTTCTGCCCCTTTCCCTCACCTGGCGCTCCGGGGCACCCCAGCGCCCTCATACCTTGGGAGGGAATGGTGTCCTCTGAGCAGCAGGGGGTGGTCGTCTGGGTGCTGTAGCCGCTGGAGCACTGCAGCGAGTCCCGGCTGCTCCTCTGGGTGTCCAGCTGGAGGCCCCGAGACAGGGCCAGGGCCAGCTCCTCACAAGCCTCCATCTCTTCCCCAGGCTGTAGGTTGGAGGAAAGAGACACAGAGAAGCCACCAGGGCCATGAGTCCCCTGTCGGATGTCCCCAGGGCCTTTCCACATACCGCTTTGCCTAGGAACCTGGATACTACTCCTAGTCTGCTCTGGGGAACACTAGGTGTATGCAGGCTCAGGGCTATGAACTTGCTCGGGTCCTACCCAGGCTCTAGAAAGTTCTACACGCCCTGATTCCCATACATGGCTTTTCCCCTGTGAGTCTTCCAAAAACTGGACAGCAGGGAGTGGCCGGGTGGGGGGGGGAGCCTCAAGTCCCTCCAGCCGCAAGGCTGACTCGGTCAGCATTTGGACACCAGCCAGGTCTGGGGCGGGGGGGGGGGGTTGTCCAACCAGCTACAGAGAAAAGGCGCGTCACCCTGGCAGCAGCTGACACCGTCATGCTCCGTGGTCTCTGAGCCTCCTCGGCAGCTGCAGGTGGGCCGCCTGCTGCGGCGGGTCCTCCTCCGCTGGGGTCTGGCTCCCGCTTCTCTTTGCGGCGCTGTAGGGTGTTCACCAGAGGCTGATCATAAGGTCCCGGCTTGGCCCAGTCCTGAGCAGAACGGCACGGTCAGATGCCAGGGCCTCGCTTCCACCAGGACGGCTGCGGACCCTGTGGACTGCGGCCCACACAAGGCAGCTGGTCCCCTTGGGGGAAGCTCAGGCTGGGACAGGTCGGCAGGCCCCTCTAGTCCCTCACCTGGCTCTAAAGGGAGTGGAAAACCCTTGGGGGACATTCCTGGTTACCTCCCTTTCCTCCTATCTGCCCACAGATTAAAAACCTTCGATAACCAGGCAGGGGCCTGTGGAGACTCTTAGTTAGTAGCTGACCCACTGTCTGGTGTCTGAAGGCCCCAGCCAGTGGAGGTGGAGTCCCCAGGGACCAGGCAGAACCCTCTCCTCCAAATGACTTAGCTGGAGCGGACTGGCCACCAGAGGGCACTAAAGGAACTGCAGCCACTATATCTGAGGCTGAGGCTCCACTTTCCAAAACCTGGGCCCCAGAGGGCACTTCAGGAAGTGTCCTCTGAGGTCCTCACATAGGAAGGGAAGGCCCCTGGGGTCAGTTGGAAGATTTTTGAGGAGTCTGAGGGTCCACACCACTTGTGAGGGACAAAGTTAAGACCTACTCAAAATGCCAGCAGCCTAGGGGCCTACTATTCAAACTAGGGACCTCCCCTCCAAATAAAGCTGAATATCCTGGGGTAGCAATTGGACAAGCTAGGAAATGACCCTGACCCAGTAAGGGCCTCAGGGGGAAAGTCTGGGGCACTTGGTGAGGAAGACAGTCCCTTTCCAGTCCCTGGTAATAGCAGTGACACCCACAGGTGACCAGCCACCTGGAGGGCAGAACTGGGACTTTGAACTTGGAATGAACTTCCCTGCAAGGTCCCACTTGTGCCTACTGTCTAACTGGGGTTAACCAATGTTTAGTACGGGAGGCTCTCCAATCTCAGCTCCTGGTGGAAATTTCTATCTCGAAGCTGCCTGCTGCTTTTTTGCTCTCCCGTGGGAATTTGGTTAGGGAGAGGTGTTATGGGGAAGAAGGCAGAATGTGAACGGAACGGGATAATCAGGGTGAGGAGATGGTGGGACAGAAGGGGGTGAGCACGGAGGCAATGAGAGGGGGGAGAGAGGAGGGGGGAGAGGGAGGAGAGACACAAACCTTCCAGCTAGGGATCTGAGATGACGGGAACATGCCGGGCCCAATGGTGTAATAATGAGCGTAGTCTGGAAGGTGGACAGAGGTGACCCGAGGGAGCAGGCGGGAGGCAGGCGGGCAATGAGGGAAAAGACTTGCCCCCACGGGCCCCACATGGGACTCACTTGATAAACTATAGTGAGAAAACCCATTAGACAACTGGAAACAAAACAAAAAAGGGGAAAAAGGAAAAAAATTAATATAACAGGACAAGTGTGGATGGCACTGACATTCAACAGAGGGGAAGACCTGAACAGTTATAAACAAACATTGGGCTCTCTGCTCATGGATGGTCCAGGATGCAGGAGACAGGAGCCGGTGCAAAGAACACACAACTGGTTTACTCGACACCAAGTAAGTACCGTATTTTGCTGTGTATAATGTGTACTTTTTTTGCCCAAGTTTTTGAGGGGAAAACAAGGGTGCATATTATACCTAGGTATAACGATCCCATACCGTGGGTATAATAATCCCGTGTATGATGTGCACCAAAATGTGGGTGTGCATTATACACGGCAAAATACGGTATTCATTAGAGGAAGCAGTTTATTTATAATCTGTCAATAGTTTGGAAACTGATCAGTGTCCTTCATCTATGACATTCTCAATGATTTCTGAGTATTTTTAACAAAACATCCTTTTAGGTGATAGTGATTTGCTCATCTCATTATGCAAACTTTAAAATTCTAAAGCATCTTCATCCAAAATCATCCCACTGTTCAGAATTCCAAATTGGGGTGAATAGGGGGCGGTTTGCAAACTCAAAGGTGGAAAAAGCACACAGTCTGACACAGCGAAATGTCACACCCAACAGTATGGTGACGAGGAGGTGGGGTGCTGGGGAGGAGAGACGGGTGAGAACACAACACCATTCTGGGAAGGAGCCTTCACATCTCCGAGTTCCCCATAGCCCTGCCTCTCCCTCTGGACGACCTTGTGACGACCTCACACTCATTGCTCAGGAGGCAGACACCCACTCAAGGAAAATGCCCTCAACCTCATCCCCCTCGTCCCCAAGCTCTTGGTGTAGACTTTGAGTTTCCTGGTTCCTGCGCCTGAGACACAAGCAGCAGGCAGGGGAGGGGGGCGGAGAGAAGTGGGACCGTGGCGGCTGGGACCCGGGTCGGTCACCTTCTCTGTGGAGGCCCAGGCGCCCATGGTGGAGCCTGAGCTGACCGAGGTGGGCGAGCTGCACTCGCTCACTGACTGGCAGGTTTCGGAGGCTTCCGAGGAGGCTGAGCTGGACGAGTTCTGCAGTGGGTGGGGGGACCAACAGAATCCAGACCACACACCAGTAAAAATTAAAAAAAAAATGGGGGCGGGGAGAGCACGCACAGAGAGACAAACAAACGTACACACAGAAAAGGGAAGGATGAGAGAAGCAGAGCGTTAGGGTTATTTTTCCCCAAAGCTGCACACAAGGAGGCTTTCCAGCCCTTGAAAAGAAGTGTGAGACCCAGCAAGGTTGGACCACCAGACTGCTAGCCCCCAGGACCCCGTTTGTGAGCATCTAGTCCTGTACTGGCCTACAGCGGGTGCTCCAAATCACTGAAGGGATGAGTGGCAACAGCCATGTTTTCCGTGTGAACTGGGCCCCCTGGAGCACTGGGCCCGCCCAGGTATTTGCTTTGTTTCTTTCCACTACCTCTGGCTCATCCCAGTCACTCACAGAAGCCCAGCCCCCTGGGGTCTGTAACTTCCCCAGGAGTATTCCTCTATTCACTGTCTAGGAGGCAGGGCTCGTGTTTCCCTCACCGTCCAGCCGCCAAAGGAAGAGAGGTTCCTGCAGAGGGACAGAGCGAGAGCTTCCTCATCCTGCAAGGGCAAGGGACCCAGAAGACGCCCCGCACAAGGCCAGCAGCCCTGCGGGGCTGAAGCTGCACTGTGGATGCCCCGGCTGCTCACAGGGCTCAGGGTCTGGTTAGCAGTCCAGGGTTGGAGTCTTAAGGTTTGGATTTAAGTCCTGTTTCTGCCACTTGTCTGTCAAGGAACTATGGGCTTGGTATCCCCAAACCTCGATTTTCCTCTTTAGAATGGAGATCAATAATATGTAACGATGAAGCTAAAATGAGATTGTGTGTGTGTGTGTGTGTGTCTGTACACAGCACTTCACCAAATGTACAGAAAGTTAAGTCATCACTCTAATTTCCCAGGACTGTTTATCTTGGTTCCTCTGACCCAACTATGTTCAACTTGAGAAAAGGACCGGCAAACCAGCCCAGGGCTGCAGGGCCGTGTTTCTGCTGATTTGTGCTCACTCTTTCTAAAGCACCCCTTGCTTTGGTAGAGTCAGCAGCTCCAGGAAAACACCGTCACCAGGAGCAGGGCCCACTCCTGGGCACACTCAGGGGAAGGCACAACCTGCTGGTGTCCCCTTTGTGCCACCCTCGATAAAGACGGCATGGCAGCTGTCAGGAGACTGCCTCCTCTGGCCTAAATCTGTACAATTTCCCTAAATTTCCTCTCTGCTTTCTAATTATAAGCAGCAGCAGTGCTTTTAAAAAATCATATTTTCCTATTAAATTTCGCAGCACCCTGAGCTAAGAATCTGAAGTTGCTGGCCAGGCATATCTGGGCGCCGGCTCTGAGAGTAAGTAAACCCCAGCCACCACCTTCCGCTTCCTACAGCGTTGCTGTAGGCAGAAATGCCCGCTTCGGCCTGACCCACGCACACACAGGCTTCGACAAGGAAGCAGAAGCACTCAGCCCCTTTCTTTTTAGAAATGGTTGTCAGTGCACAAGACTGGGTTAATTTGTCAGTTGATTAAAAAACACACAGCATTATGCTACACATTAGAATGGCCTTTGAGGAATTGCAGAATCCTGCTTCCCATCCCATCATTCACACTCTGCTCAGGAGACACACAGGTGTGGTTCAGCGCCGCACCTGGTGGGATGGGTGTGAGAAGGGGGTGGGGACACCTTCGGAGACCAAGCCGAAGCACCCCACTGGGCAAGCACATTAGAACTTAAAGCCGCAGACCTTGGCCCAGGCCGAGGTCCCCAGAGACCTAGACGGGCAGAGGCCATGGTCTCTGGGGACAGCTGAAGAAATGCCAGAGGGAGTGGGCGGGGCACCAAGAGCTCTGGTTCTCCGACAGCCTGGGTTCCCGCAACACCTCAGCTGCTTGCTCAATGCAAAGTGCTGCCCCTAACTCTCTCCCAGGCCCGCCTTGCAGCTGAGGTGCAGCAGAAAGGCTTCCGCACCAGGTGTCAGAAACCTCCTTCCAGGGCCACACAGCTGTGCAGCGCGGGCAGCCCACTGGCATCTCCCAGCCCCCACCTCCACAACACAGCAGGGACGGCGGGACGGGGTGGCTGCGGGGAGAGTGACACGGAGAACACGAGTGGGAGGGCCTGGGCCAGCGCCTGCTGCACCAGAGGGGCTCAGTGACTGTCGGGCAAACTGGACACTTGGATACACGAGACAAGCTGTGACTTTCTGTCCACAGGATCTTGGACCAAAGGCTGGGTATGGTTCAGTCTCACAATGTACAGGATGGGCTCAAAGCCACCACGCCTGGCAGATGGCACCACGGGGCACCCTGGACTTGGCGTTTCCCAGCATCTGTGCTGTTGAGCTTACTAAAGGCAAGGCCGACGCCGGCACTGGGGGAGCCAGGGCAGAGAGAGGAGCGGGGCAGGTGCCTCAGGTGCTGCCTGGCTCCCACCCTCTGTTCCAAGTGTACGGCCAGCTGGGCTGGGCGGGGCTAGGCCTAGCCCCACCCCCGCAATCCACTGTGGCTGAAGAGATTTAACACCTCCCCTCCCCCCAGGAGCAAAGTGCCAACAGAATAAGCTGTGATGATTCATTCTCATCCTCAACATAAACTGACAGGGGGAACCCAAGACTGCAAAGAAGGATCCGGAGGCAATGTCCCGTGACGGAATCTCAGAGAGAACCAGAGATGGGGAAGAGGTGGTCCCATTGTGCAAACGCCCATTAACTACACCATCATGCTGAGCCAGGCACTTCCTGGGATGCCAGAGAGTAGCCAAACCTCTTTGAGTCTATCTACTCACATGTGAGGACTCCCCAAACCCACATGGTGACTCAGCCTGCAAGCCTGACTGACAGCGTTTCTCCCTCTGGGGGGCGGGGGGGGGGGGAACACATCAAAAGACAAGAAAGGAAACCAGACTTTTCTCTTGTTGAGCCAAGATCCTCCCATGGATCCAGCCATTGCTGGTGTCCAGGCACCAGGCAAGACGGCTGCTCCCAGGCTAAGGGCACCCTTACCTGGTTGGGGGCCTCTGGTGGCATGGGGGACGGCGACTTGGACTGGAAGGCGTCCTGGGATATGAAGCCGGAGTCGTGGGAGGACACGCTGGACAGCCGCACGGGCGCCTGCTGGGCCAGGTTGGAGCTGCGGCAGCGGTAGTGCGAGCTGGGGGAGTGGGAGTGGGAGCCGCTGGACCGCGAGTCGCTGCTGTTCACGCTGTTCAGGCTGCTGTGGGGGCGAGCAGAGGGGGCGGGGCGGTGGTAAGAGGGAGGAGGGGACAGGAAACAAGGGGCAGAGAAGGGACAACAATATAATGGAATCAGCTCTCGGCCTCAGAGAAGCAGTGCAGGTCGTGAGGTGTGTTTCCAAAACGCCAGATCATTAAGCTAGTAAACAAAAGTTGTTGTTTTTCCTCCACATGATCCAAGGGTGAAAAACCAGCCACCAGGACTCAGCTCTCTGCCCACGTGATGAGGCATCTTTAGCACGGAGGCCTGTGATTCTGAAAAATCACATCCTGCCCAATTCTGCCATGCTGCTGACCACCAAAGCTAGGGGACCTGACGTCTGTGGCACGAGAAGAGACGGGGCTGATCTTGTCTGCCGTCTGCGGGCAGAAACCAGGGCCCTGCAGCAAAACCCATAAAGGCATCGGTGTGACCTGGACGGGATGTGCTGCTTTTGGGCTGGTTGGACCTGCTGGGTCCAGGAGGCCACGGTCACCCAGCCCAACATCGCTTTGCAGCGCAGGCACCAACGGACACCTCAAGAGGATTTCATCCTAGGTAGGCCTGGTTCAAGGCCACCGGAAAAGAGCAGCAGCAAATCAACTCGGCATGCCTGTGTCAGCATTTTATCAACAAGGCTGACGCTTTAATGAATGGCTTACCCTGATCATAGGTGTTTCTCTGTCAAAATACCCTCGGGCCTGGCGTTAACAGTGCCCCTGGGCAAGACGCAGGCAGTTCTCAGTGATTAAAGGCAATCCCTGCAAAGCTGTTAGCTTCCGAGAATAAACAGTAAACAGGATGTTGAAAAATCACACACACCCTCTGGGTGTCCTGTCCACATCCCTTTTCTAGTCATAAGAAACATGCTCCGCAGTCTGTACAGTAACTCAGATCACGAAAACCAGAAAACCGAACACAGTCCTGGTCCCAACCAGCAGAGCCGCCATTCGCAGGGCAGCTCTAGAAGCATCTGACGGGATGAAAGGTACAACCCGCCTGGGATTCCAAAGTCTGTGGCTTCTGCTCCTACCCGAGAGTCCCGTCGAGTTCCGCAAACTCTGACGGCTGAGGAGGTGGTCAAGGACTCTGTGCCTGTCTGCACTGGGATGGTGTATACTGGCGGAAATCACCGCTGCCGGGGAAAATTATCGTGATTCCTGCTCTCCTCTCCACTCGGTCAGACGAGAGCGCCTGGGGGCTGACCAGAAAGCCACGCACTCCCCGCCAGCCGCTCCCAGCTGCTGTGAGCGCACTGTGACTTCTGATGGAAACTAAAACTGTAAGGAGGGAAGGATCCTGATGCAGCTCTGCTTTGTTACAGGCGAGACACAGTTTTGTTAATTATCAAGCAGCAAACAGAAACTGTAGATTTGTCACCCAGAACACGCACAGACACAAAAGATGACGTGAAACCAACCAATACCTTCAGGTTGCAGAACAGCAGGAGGCAGCATCTGCTGAAGCCTGAACTTCCTGCTCAGTGTCTATTACGCAAGCTCAGATACGAAACAAAACACACCGGTGTGTACAGACATAACCACACAGAGATTGGGCAGATCCTGCCCGCTCCCTCCTCTCAATGCTAATGCACAGGAAGTGGAATTCACTTGGTTTTGAAACAGCAAAGAAGAAGAGCAGGTGGAATGTACCAAGAAAGGCAAGGGAGGCATGATTGAGCTTCCATCCTTCAAGAAGAGAACAGACTTTGTGATCAGCAAGCCAAGAACGGTTTTCGAACAGAAAACTGCTAAAAGACAGGTTTGCAGGTGGTGGAACTATTCCAGTTGGTTCTGTCTGTCTGTCCACAGCAGTACTAGTTACAAACAGTGGTAGTGGGGGCTAGTGAGTAACGGGGCAAGATTCCATTTACTTTGGAATCCTGCAGAAACCCTACACTCAAAACTTGGGGAAACTGAGGGCACAAGCCACCACAACTTCCTCTGGTTGTTCTGATAACAGTGAGATCCGCCTATACAAGAATAAAGAAATCAAACTCAAATTCACAACGTGGGAAAATCTCTACGACATACAACTGAAAGACAGGAAGCTGCGTCCACTCATGTAGGGCCGAACGGGGTTTTCCTCCTGATCCAAGACAAACCCAGAGACTAAAAAGTGAGACCAAAATCACGTGGAGTTCTTTCAGCCGACGACATCATCGCTTCCTGTTGAAAGTGAGCATTTCTAAGAGTCCAAGGCCGCTGTGCGGCTCCCGGAAGTGTGAGAAGTGCCCTTCGCTTACCTGCAGACACTTGACTTGCGGGACATGGTGGTGCTGGGGGAAGAAGGTGGCGTCTGGTACGACCAACTGTAATCAGAGCCTTTCAAGTCCAAAATCACCTGAGGGGACAGAGCCAGGAAGGTAAGTGAGGTGCTGAGAAAGGAAACATTATCTGTCAGATCTTAAAACCTGTAACATCAAAATTCTGCCATTACCATGGATACAGATTAAAGAAAAAATGTTGTTAGGGTTTTTTGCTTTTTGTTTTTTAGTTAAAGAACCACACTACTAATCCATTAATGTCATAATTCTTTCTCTGAGACAAGTAAAACTAGACTTAATTGGGAGGTGAGGGGCATGAAGAGAGAGAGGGAGATTCACGGTGACAGATAAACAGTTTACGAGAGTCATTTACACCCACGGCTAGAGTCCACAGGGTTTTTGTCTGATGGCACCACAAAGACAGTAATGGTTTCAGGACACTGATCTTGCATTTTAGCCATTTGATTGTCAGCGGTCACTTGTGCCCTGTTTGACAGGTCTGATACTGTACAACCTGACAGAATCAAGGCCAAACCGATTGTTTCACAGTTATTTCTACATCCGTCTCCCTCGCTTGAAAAGAACTACTTGAGTGTAAGGTCTACCTTTTGTGCACATAGTAGGTGCTCGATAAATGTCTACTTACTGAGTGAATGCCTGCATGCTGTGGGCTCGTAAGAGTGATTTCACAGAGTGGAAAATACAAGCTCTCCAACTTGTCTTCTGAGCTGGCTCGCCGAGGGGGCGATAAGAATTTTACGCAAAGGGCAAAGCCAACCTGCGATTCATCAGCTCTTCCCCCTGATATGTCTCTTCCCACTTGATACAACATTCATGTCACAGGAAGCAAATAATAAGCACAGAAAATGCCACCTGTTTGATAAGGGAGCACCTCGTGCGTTACTTAATTGGAATGGTTTGCCACGACAACCGAGACACACCAGGGTGGCATTCCCATGAGAGTGCATTTCTGGAGGGCAGGTGACCACAGTGGTTATGAGCACAGGCTCTGGAACTGACTGCCTGGTTCACACCTCAGCTCCACCACTAATTAGGTAGGCGAACCTGGTTCAGTGACTTTACCCAGTGCTCTCCATGAAGAGTAGCTGAGACAGTCTAGGTTCAGCAGCAGCTCTGCAATGGCTAGTGATGATCACCACAACAGGATAATGCCTCAGGGGACCCTCATGACCTTGAACTTCTTTGGTCTGCTCCCCTGAGTGCCAACCAACCCTCCTACCTGTTCACTTGAAGAGGGCAGTTTGTGAGGGTCCATGGTCAGGCTTTTCAGGTCTTCCGAGATGGTCTGAAGGTGAGTTATTTCCCCCAGCATTGAGATTTCCTCTTCCTGAGGGACAGCAATTCACAGCATGTTGTCATCATGAGCGACCCACTTCACTGTCCTGGTCCCTCCATTTTTATTACAGCCCCTGCCTAGCCTCTCGGACTTTTCTGAAGAGGGTCCCCCTGGGACTGGCACATCTCTGCTGAAGGCACTACCAGCCCTTTGTTTGAGAGCTGGGAAGGAAGGGGAGCTCCGCCATCACTGGAGTGGCCTGCATGCAGCAGACAGCGGTGAACCAGAGCCAAAGTGAGCCCATGGGCCTCCCTCACAGTGTCTGGGGCTGGCAGACCAGCTGCAGGGGGCAGGGGGTGTCTGCCTGTGTCTTCCCTCACAGGCCCTGCAGCCCGGCCCCCTCCATGGGGGGAGGGTCTTCTGTAAAGTCACTCAGCTTCAACGGTGACAGTCATAGGTATTTTGGTCTAGCAGAGCTTACAGATCTCTGTGACAGCACATGTGTGTTCAACAGAGGTCCCATGTCCTCTCCTTTCCTGTTTCTACTACAAACTTAACAGACGGTGATAACGTAGGAACACTTTCCCGTCAGTGCCACACCGGGGCCCTGGGCGTAGGCAAGATGATCCCTGGGAAGTTCTCTGATCGGGGGCCAGCTCACACTCCGGCACTTTGCTGGGGTTCCCTGCACACAGCAGATTCCCAATGACGCGATGATGGGTGGAGAAGGGGGATCTCCTCCCAGCTGACACTGAGCCCTTCTGGAACTTCCCACTAACTTACGATCACGGGGCGCAGCATAGAGATGAAGGTGCAGAACCGGCCGCGTTCTTCAATCAAAGCCTTCCGGACTGCCTGCTTTTCTGTTTCTTCCAACAAGAGATATTTATCATTGACATCTTGGAGAGCGCTGTCCAACTGAGGCTGGATGTCACCTCTCCCTGCAAACAGAACAAAGCCCCAAGTGTGGCTTGCTGAGATATCATCTCCTAGGACTGTGGCCCCTCTCCCCCCGGGTGCTGGAGGGGAAACCATCCATTTCCAGGACATAGAAAAGCGATTTGGTAATACCCAGAAAGGATGTAAGGTGGCTATTTTTCTAGGACTAGCCATTCCCAATTTGCAATGCTGCAAGGGCGCACTGGCTAATTCCTGGCACAGCAGATTCCCCAGGGGACCCCACAGCACCTTCTGCCAACAAGACCCCAGGACATGGCACCAGACAATATTCTCTCCTCTTGGAACATTCTGAAGAGGCTAAGGGATAAACAGGTGAGGGCCTGTGGATGTTTCCAAAATTGGGCACAAGCTGGCTTTGCTGGGTCCGCCTCAATCAAAGAGCCTCTGTCTGCACAGAAGAGCCTGTCCCTGAAGGCCAGGGTGGCAGGCACCAGCTCTCCTGGCTCCGGGGGCCCCTGGGACTTCCTGGCCGTCAGCCGAACTCCCCAGTGGAGAGTCCTGAACACTCTCCCAGTCTAACAAGCCCAGTAATAAAAAGACCTGGTGAAAAACTGAAGGGGGTGTCACTGCTGAGCGGGGCCCCTGTGCAGCCAGGTCCAAGATTCCCAGCAGGGAGGCAACACGGGGTGCTAACCTTTGAAACAGTTCCAGAGATTGGTTGGCAAACTGTCTTTAAGATCAAGTTTTATCAGAGCATGGCCACGCCCCATAATTTACATACTGACCACGCCCACACTTGCTACAACTGCAGGGTGGGGGCTCTGTGACAAAGACTTTACAATCTGAACCTTTAGGGGAAAAGCTTGCAGCTCTAGACGACAACTGTAGACAAACAGGCCCTATGTCGGGGGGGGGGGGGGAGAGGCCACTGTGATCTGACCTGTAGTGGGAACAAGAGGGTGACCCCCCGGGGGGGGGGGGGGGGACCAGCTCTTGCACTTCCACACTGGGCAGGCCCCAAGCAGGGGCTTCCCCTGTCGTCCAAACCAGAGAAAGGATTTCTGACTTTCTCATGGTGATGGAAGGAGATTTCACCAGGGCTGGTGAGCACATCGTATAACATACAGACGATGTAATAGAACTCTACGCCTGAAACCTATATACTTTTATCAACCAATGTCTCCCCCACAAAGTCAATAAAAAAGAAAAAGAGAAAGCTCCTCGGGGCAGGCTCTCAGACTCCCCAGCCCTCAGCACAACGCCATGCGTGCGTACAAGTGCTGAACAAACAACGCTGCACAAACACTCGATCGTTTTCAACACAGAATGTCGGCGATGGAGGTGGCCTTCGGGGTTATCCAAGTGCGCCTGCTGGTATTTCCGTGGAGGCGGGGCCTAGAGAAGGTCGTTCAGGGAACACAGAGTGAGCCGGTAGCCCAGGCAGCCCGATCCCTCTGTTGCTGGACTCAGTGCCCTCGGCCCACTGCCTCCAGTCCAGGAATGGATGTCACTACCCTCCTGGGAGGCTTCTGACCAGTCACCATGCGCCCCTCTGACGAATGACACAGAGCACCTTAAATGCAATGCATCACTGGGTTTGAAAAAACAAAAGGGTTGGGGAAACCTGCCTTGAGAGGAGGAAAATAGCCTGCATCTTCTCTCGTAAGTAGACGAGAAATCTGAATTTGGAGCTTCGAGAATGTCCCAACAGAAGAGGTCATTGGATTTTAAGTCATTTGTGAGGCAGTGGTTAGGCTCCGAGGGGGCACACAAAGGGAGACTCCCATGCCATCAGAAGCCACCCCTGGAAGTGCCTTCGCTGGCCCGTCAAGTGCAGCAAACATGGTGGTGGTGGGGGGGGGGGGGGGTGTGTGTGTGTGTGTGTGTGTGTGTGTGTGTGTGTGTGTGTGTGTGTGTGTGTGTGTGTGTGTGTGTCTCTCACGCATCACGGCAGCACCCACGCAGGGCGGGTGCAACCACGTGCAGTACTGAATCCCTATCCCACACTGCCATCGAGTAAGAATCTGCGGGTTGAGACGTTCCCACATACATTCAAGGTCACCCACTCACCCATCCCTCCACTTATCACCATCTACCTCACAGGGTAACCCCACCAGTTCCCGCAGCATCTCTGCCATTGCTTCAGTTTCTCCCACCAGGAGGCGGGGAGCCACCCACACACGACCTGGCCACCAAATCACAGGTTTCACTCGTTTGTAGTGGACAGGAAGCCTAGACAAGCATTCTCCACTCTCTCCAGGGCCTTGCTGGGGGGACTTGGGCTCCCTCTTGAGGACACACCCTGTCCCACAGACACAGCGCCAGGAGGAAAGCCTGGGTCGTCACCACCTGGTATTGTGAGGCTTGTGCACCTGACGCCACATACACCAAGTGTGGACATGACACAGGCCCTGCTCTTGTGCAACCGGCAGAGCAGTGTGGCCCAGCTCGGGCCCTCTGTGGGTCTCCCAGCCTCGTCGGTGACGTTCTCACCTACGGTGGCGGGCTGCGGACCAGTATGACACACTGAGCTTCAGTGGGGGAGGGCGGAGGGGAGCCGGGGGGGAGGGGGGAGTGGTGCACAACGCCTGACAAGAACAGCCTGGGTGCGCTCTGATTACAGCGGTGATTTCTCTCACTGTCAGGCTCTAACTACAAGAAGCTGGAAAAATGTGTATTTTACTTCCTGTCGCAAGTTACCAGGCGCATGCCTATGTGTAATTAATAACACTGACTTTCAAAAATATACTTGCATAGAAACGCAAAGTGACCAGAACCGAGTGCAGTCTAATCTCGTAAACATAAATTTAAATTATTCTGTAATTATAGCAAACTTATCTTAAATTTATATTGTGTCATAATTAAAGGGCTTTTCAAATTGTGGTATTCTAAAACAAGTATAATCTGTAAAGACTGCTATAATTACAGTTATAGGGAGTACATTTCCACTCAGGATAATCATAACCAAAAAGCACAATGCTTATTAAATTCACGAACACAACATATAATCATATTTATTTTAAAAACCGTGGAGGAAATCATTCCACGGCCCCGTTGGACACACTGGCTTTAAGACGCACTACTCTCTCCAGGCCGAAGAATACAGAGTTGTGCCACACAGGTGCCTGTTCACGTCCCTCCTGTGCGCGACGTCGTGAAGACAGCCGTCACCAACACCCCCACACACGTCCCCGGCTCTCCAGCTCCCACGTGACTCTACTGTCCTCCCATCTCCCCTCTGCTGTCGCCACTCTCACTGGGCCATCCTGCTCTCTCACCTGGATGGCTGCAAGGGCCCCTAATATGTCAGCTGATTGCATTTAGATCAGCAGCCCCGAATCGCTGTCAACATGCAAGGGTTATCACTGCTTGTCAATAGCTCCCTTTCTTTCCAGAAAAGTCCAATGCCCTTCACACGGCCTTCCCCGCAAGGCTTGCAAGGGTCCGCCAGTCTACGCACAGCCTCAAGCTGTTGGACCCCTCCTTCTCCTCCCCACCCTGCGAGCCCCGCCTTCAAGTTGCTCTCCCTCCTCCCCCCTGCACGGTCTGTTGCTCCTGCAGGTCTCCAACCTTCAGCTAAGCCCTCCTCGAACTCTCTCACTAGATCAGGATTCTGCCATTTGAGCTAGAAGCTCCCTATACGCATCCTCCATGACACTCCCGGTACTAATTTCGTCTTTATTTTTCTGCTGAGTGACGTCAGTCTCCCCTACCAATGAGAAGCCCCGCGCACGTTTCTGCCCAGCACCGAACCTTCTCACCCGGCACCGAACCTTCTCACCTGGCACCCCTGCGTGGACCCGGGTGCGCAGGGACCTGTGAGTGGACGTGGCACTGATGGAGTCGCTCCGTCCGTGTTTGCTCACTGGCCTGCAACCACGATGGCCTTCAACGGCCCAACACCATAAAACTGGCAAATTCCAGGACGGCCACACAGTCAACAGCAGGGAGGGGTGCCCTAAATGGGCTTTCCGGATAAAATTCCTGAGCAAAGAATTGCTCGTGACCTTTTTTGCAGTCACCTCCGCCTCGAGCACTTTCCCCCTCAGTCTCGGGCCTCACACTGGAGAATTCCGATGAGCGAAGGCCAGCAGGCGCCCTCTGCTCCCACGGGGGAACCACAGTTGCTCCTCTTTACGGAAAATGCTGCTGGGGTATCGTGGGCACGTGTCGCGGCTGAAGTAGCTCCCTTAAAGGAAAGGGCTTGGTTTTTTAATTGAGTTTTGTAAGGGAGAGTGGACAAAACTTTCTGGAATGAAGTGAAGATCCCAGTTCTTCCCACCATTTACACTTTTTTCCTTTAATATTTATGTATGTGCTCAAAGGAGCAATTAATGCCCCTTTGGACAGAGGGGCGACAGGCACTGAGGGAGGGAAAGCGGCTTTGCTCGGGGTCACCGTGCTGTCGATGGTGTGGCCAGAGCCCGGCAGTAGTTCTTTCTCCTCCACAAGCCCTGGGCTCACGGCAACCACAAACCCTGGGAGCGAGCTGGCAGGAGCTAAATGTTCTGCATCCGTCCATGACAACACGATTCAAAGGCCAGTCGGGCAGTGGGTGTGACCTGGAACCTCCGGGCCTTTTGCCCCACACCCTGCAGCCCCCACCTGAGCCTGGACCACGGGCGCCATTCTCAGGCTAACAGCTTCCCAGCAGAGGACAAACCCAAGACATGCTGGGTCAAGATCGTTTGGGATGCCAGAAAAACACCCCAAGTCATTTTCTTTCCCCTGCCAGATGTATGAGGAGCTGCGGGAATCTCACAAAATGACTCCCACCTGCCCCGAGATGATAGCATCGGTCACTCTAACACGCCCACTTTTTCACACCTCACAAATCAAGGTTGTGTCCTACGATCAACAGCGAGTCATCACAGTTTAATCAGCAGGGTTTTCTTTTTTTGTGGATTAGAAAATACCAGTGCATCTTACAATTGATGGCAACCTGAAGTCAGTGGGATGTGGGGTTTAAATACTGAAACACAGGTCATAAATACAGAAACAGACATGCAAGGCACGACTGGAGATTAGAATTTGGAGTGAAAAACTCCCTTTTCCAGCCCACAGGCAGTTCTCATCACGCCTCCATATACTCTGTCCCCTCTCTAATACCCTGCAGCCATTCTTAATCGATTCCCCAAACAACCAGAAATCAAAAGCGGGATCAAACTCGATTCCTGTTATTCCGTCGACATGCTGTGCCTCCGTCCCACTCATCTGTGAGACGTGACTAACAGCTAGTCCCCAGCTCGAATGGCAGTTGTGGGCCAAATGAACTCACTCGTACGAAGCGTTCAGCCCTGTGCCGAACACATGGTGAGCGCTGGGTAAGCGGCAGGTGTCACCAGTGGCCACATGACATCCCTGAAGTTGTCCTCACCCTGGGCGCCTCAGCAGGGGAGAGGGCACAGGCCCCGGTGGGTTTTTTTTTAAATGAGTATTCAGTTCGAGGTCCTCTTTGATGCATAGAAATTTGACAGATCCCATAATCTGTCACTCAAGGAAGGGGTTTCGCATCACGAAGATTTGTTGGCCCTGAGCAGTCAGCTGTTCTCCCAAGCAAAGAGCAGGGCGGGACAGCTCGGAGGCCAGCTGGAAGCCACCCTGTGCTGACCCGGGGGGTGCCACGCTGCGTCTCACACCCAGAAGCCTCACGTCACGGAGGAGACTCATCCTCTGCAGTCGAGGAAACCTTCTACCATCCTCCGCCCGGTCGCCGGGTCCAGAACCCGTGGCCCCTTCAACTCCTCCTTTCACTCAGTCTTCTCAACAGCTCACGAACCCGTTCACCTCTCCATCCCCGGGCCCTGGCCACCGGCATCTCTCGCCTGAAGAAAAGCCACTTGCTAATGAGCTATCCAGCAGGGCCCCAATCAAATCCAAATGTACACTGTCACAGCAGAATCTTCTAGAAGCCACGAAGTCTTCAAGGGCTTCAACACAGTCCTAAAAGCCAACTGTTTGATGTGACAGGAAGACCTTGATCAGGTCCCTACTCACCTGTGCCTAGTCCTGCACCTGGGGGAAGAGAAAAGCCGTGTGCACCTGTGTCGGGCCTGGAACTGCCCTCGGCCATGGGGCTGGGGACAGGAAAGAAGGGGGAGCAACTGCTTAAAAGGCAGGGGCATCTTCTGGGGATGACACAAATGCTCTGAGACCAGATGGTGGTGACGGCTGCACAACACCGTGAAGGCACTAAAAGCCAGTGACAAATACACTCCAAAATGGCGCATGGGATGTGCTATGACTTTGACCCTGATGAGCAAAAACAGGGGCCGTGTGACCTTCCTTCACAGACACACTGAACACTGCTCAAGCTGCGTCAAACACACAACACCGAGGGTCGGAAAGGACCGTCCCTTTCAAAGTTGGGGAGCGACTAACTAGCCCAATGTCACTGTGAGGGGACAGCTGTGTCCCCATGACAGTGGCCACCCTGGCCCCACCTGTGAGGGGTCACCTGTGTGGCTCAGGTTCCCTGTCGATGACAGGAGCCAATTCGAACGCCCCTGGGAGCTGCTCAGTGCAAACTCGCACAGGCGCTTGGGCACACCCAGGCGGGTCAGCCGCACGGCCCTCACAGGCCTCCCGAGACGGGGACAGCCAGGAGACACCAAGCGCAACTTGAGGGTTTAGTAGCAAAATCACCCACAGAGTGCGGTTCAACATTCAGTCCAGAAGAATCATCTTGATTACTGAACTTGAAGATCCAATACTTTTGAAGTGAATCATTTCACAAACTCTGCTGAAATAAGAAATACTTTGGTTTTGATTTTTTTTAATGAATTCTTGGTTTTGAAAAGAACTCTGGTTCTTTTAAAAAATTAAAAATACTTTGAAGCTTAATACAATCAAATCTGATTTTGGAATTATCTTGGGGGGGGTCATTTAGTGCAGCTGTACAGGTCTTATTTGTGATATAAACACAGACAGACATACATATTCTTAGGTATATTGTATGTATAAATATACTTATTTCCTGGGGAAAGCAGGGTTTAAACCACTCTGTATTTCTTCTTTCCATGAGTCAAATACTGGATTATGATGGCTCTCACAGTATCATGCTAACCCGTTAAAGCCCCAAACATTGAAGAAAGAGAGTGATTGAAGAAAGAAAGTGATTGAAGAAAGAAAGTGATTGAAACACACACACTAGGCACCATTGATTGTTCTGAGCTGGCGGGAACACTCGGGCCGCTGACACAGGTCTGGACAACCACAGAAAGCCCACGGCAGGGACCACAGCGTGACCAGCCACCAGAGATTCGCACGGCAGACTTACCGAGAGCTTCCACTGGCAGGGCACGCGCGGTGAGAAAGTGCAGGACACACAATTGGCACAAAAAGGAAAATAATAAAGTCAAACTGGTATTCGAGCAGCAGTCTTACCTTTCTCTCCCGGGTGACACTGTCCACGGCAGCCACGGAGCTGCGCAGGCGGGGATTTAACCCACCTCTCCCAAGAGCTGCACAGCCAAGATGGCTGGCTTCCGACTTGCTAAGTCTCTCCTTTTCATCTAAATCTTCCTAGTTAGGGATCATCACCCTCAAGCAACACAGTAGGGTTTGTTTGTTTTTTAAAAGAGATGAAGAATACATTCCCGAAAGAAGTCAATTTAGAAGCTTTACCAAGAAACCCCTTCAAGGGTAACACTGTAACTTGACGAGTAACTAGAAACACCTAGGATGTAAGTTTAACTGGGGCAGAAATGAAAAAAATAATGAAAGAATTTAAAGTTTTTGTATAAAAGTAAATAATATGCTAGTCTGGAACTCAGTGAGTCTGTTTAGTAAGTTTATAATATTAACTTTGCAGCCTCTGGTGGAAAATGATAGATTCGACTATTTAAATGTCAGTCCCGAGGGTTAAAGTATTAAAGTGCTCCAGGTCTCTCAAAGAAAGTCCCTGATAAAATTTTAGTCAATATAGATTGAAACAGAGGCTTCATCATAATGAATTTTTCAAATTTAAGTTAACAATAACATGGGAGTTAATGAGAAACGAGGCTGCCGACTTTGTCCAGGACAGTGGCAAACACAGGGAACAACAGAAAATCTGTTTCCCACGTCCAGCTCCTTCTTATTTCCTAAGACAGGTTATGGCCACTCCAGGAGCCTGAAGGCCTTCAGCAAATGAATTGAAAGCCTCAAATAACCCAATTTCTCCCGACCCTTAGCTTGCAGCAGTTCCAGCCCGTTTGCGGGCCATCCAGAGCAGTCCACCTCAAACAGGCACTCAGAATGCTGATTCTGGTTCCTTCCAGAAGGTTCCAGTCACCCCGGAAACACACAAATACGAACACTTGGTTAAAAAGAAACCAACAAAAAAAAAACGCACTTATATATTTTAGGGAAAAGGATTAAAAAAAATAGAGGAAAGACATTTAAAAAATGTTTTCTGGCATAAGCAGAAAGCCATCCAGAACATTCCAAGCAACTGACTTGGTGTATTAACCTCAGTTCCCCTTCACAGCGCCTGGTCTGGAGAGGACGAGGAGCCTGAGATCTCCAGGGTTGGCAGGGAAAAGGCGGACACTGGAGATCACAGCCTCCTGTTCTCTCCGCCTTCAGGGCCAAGTGCCCCGGGACACCTCACAACTCAACGCCAGTTATTCCCAAGCCTCAGGGCCAGAGCACCTCTTCCTGCTGCACAGCCCGGCACCCCCCACGTCCTGAGTCTTTGTATCTGGCGCCTGGGTGCGAAGCCTGACATCCTCTGCAGGCAGCCTGAGCCAGTGCTGGGCGAGTCGAGTCGCCAGAAACTGCCTCCTGTGCTGCACTGCCATCGGCCTGTCAGGCTTCCCCTGGAGGCCCCAATTTCACTAATTGGACGATGCCGGTGACTCTGAGTGGCAGAGGAGGACTGTTCTAGCCTCATGCAGAATTCAGATAAAAGGATTATCGCTAAAGCCAAGAATTTAAGGCCCCTGAAAAGAGAGGTCCAGAAGAACAATGGGAAACTAGCTACTTTTCCTGACCTCATCCTCTTCACCAAACTCCCAAACCTTTTCCAAGTGATAAACATCTTCCCTGCCAAACCCGTAATCTCTCTTCTCTCAAAGCTGCTGAGCCGTCGGTGAGGTGGAGACCAGCTCCCGACCTGGAGCAGCCTGCCCTCCCATGCAACCTCAGGCTCAGCGGGAGAGGGTGGAGGTATGACTTACAGACACCCACCTCCAGACCTGCTCAATAAAGTGCTCCTGGCCACAAGCCCTTTTACTCATCCAACGCTTGCTCCCAGGTGCCCTACTGGGCCAGAAGGTAATTTTGAGAGGCACCGAGGCCCTGAAAACCTATCTCAAAGCAACCACTGGGGCCAATATGAACAGGAAGTCTGACCACAGGTGACAGTTTTGCTGCCTTTGTCTTGAAATAACAGCTAAGAGGACACTGTTTAGAAATATCAAAACTTTGCCCTCACCTCTCTTCCACCAAACCATCCCATCTCGCCAAGTGCATTTTGTTAAAAAAAAAAACCCTCCTTGTTTAGGAAAAGGGACATTGGTTTTGGGGATTTCTATCTCAAAAGATCACTAACCCAAATAAATGCTAAACTCAACTCACAGAGCAGCCTGATGGGAGAAAGGGCATTTTATCAGTTGTGAAGCAGCAAAGTGAAAAACCTGCTGTCAAGAACTGGTCACCTTCTCAAGTTCAAGAGAGTCCCTGCATTTTAGGTCTTGGTAAAATGGTGCCAATGCTTGTAAAGTGGACGCAGCTAGCTCCTCCCCCCTAAACTCCCAGTCCTTGCAGAAGAGCAACGCCAGGTCGCAGATCTGACAGAGCTGCTGTGTGGATGACGACAGGCAGGGAGGGGGAGGGGGCCCCTTGCATAGGTCTGCTCTTCCTTCCGGAGCGCCCACCCTCGTGAACAGCAAGAAAAATCTCCCTATTAGCGATGATGCCTGGCTCCTGCGGAAGCCATTTCTAACACTCTCACAAGACTTAATAAAGGGTTTCGGAGATTATAGGCTGTGAAAGATGGAGAAAATGACATAATTTCTGTAATAATTACAATAGAACATTTGCATAAAGGCTTTTGTGCACCATCCCAAGGCTTCCAGGAAATTTATAGGTTTCATTATAACGTACAATAGGCATGACAACTGTCAGATCTTGGAGACAAAGGTGGGGGGAGGAAACAAGTCAAGTGCAACTTTGCGAGGGCCTCAAATAAATAGACAGTCTGCACTGAGAACTTGAACTCAGATGGAGTCTTTGTGCGCCTCTCTGCTCTCCAGGGCCCTCATACGTAAGGGGTCTGAATCGAGCCCTTTCTGCTTCCAAGACGAGTCAAGCACATGTTCTTTTCCCCAAAGTAACGCCATTAACCGCAGAATTCGTCGAGTTACCTTTTTTTGCTTTCTTCTGCAGTTTCAGCGTATCCGAGGACTTCTTTTTGATCTCCTGACGAGCTTTTTTATACTCTAGGAGGAAGCAGAATGTTGAATCATTTACCCTTTTGCTCCACAGAACATGTTTTTGGAACCGCCTTTACTTTCGTCACAGGAAGCAACAACTGGGACACAGAACAAACACGTGTTGTCCACACGACAAACTACGACAGGCGCCGCGATTTTCCCAACAGTGTTCACTCAGACCGGCTTCAAGGAAAGGCGGCATTTGGGAATATTTCACTAAAAATGAAAAAGTCACAATTTCTCAGCTCAAGTATTTGGACATATTTTCAATGTGCTCTACTTTCCGAAGGCCTAAATCTCCTGAAGAGGGCCCCACGTGGCAAGATGCTGGCCAGACCTTGCAGTTCAGGCAAGAGGACCTCAGACAGCGGCAGCAGAAATGAGACCGGGTGGGGTGGGGGTGGGGCGGGAATGGGGAGAGACCCAGCGGCCTCTCCTTCACATGAACACCAGGGCCAGACCTTGGAGGGCACCACGTCCAGCACAGCTCCACCCCTCTGTCCCATCAGTCCACACCCACTCCTAGATGTCCCCATTTCAGTGGCTGGTATCGCCATCACCCAGATGGGGACATCTAAAGTGACTGTCACTTCTCTCCTCTGCTGCCCTCATGTTCAAATGATTGCAAACTCGACCTGATTCCTCCCAGTTATTCCCTTCCCCGCCCTAAGCCCACAGGGCTCTCACTTAAATGCTCTTCAAATGGTCTGCTAGCCAACCCTTTCTTTCCAGGTTTCTGCCCTCAGATCCCCCCATCCGACACTTTCCTTCCCGAGAAGGCCCTGCAGGCCATGGAATCCCTGGAGCAACGTGTCCTGCCCCTTCCACACCACCAGTACCCCCCGCCTTTCGGCTCCGGGAAGACCAACAGGGGTGGTGTCTGTCTGGGCCACTCCATCCCCGGAGCCCCTGGCACCGTGAGGCACTGACACAGTCATTTCTGGGCAGGAGACCCAAGGTTAGCTTGTATCATGAAAGGTACAGTTTGCAACATGGGCCGCAACGCCTTAAGTATGAGTCTCCGGCAGTGAAGCCTGGCACTGCATTCACTCTTCACTCAGCTGCTCACAGCGGATGCCCCCGAACCAAGGCACCGGCACCGAGCCCTGCTGCAGGCCACTCTCTGCTCCGTATCCTCCGACACTGAGAGGCCTGCAGGGGAGGCAGGTGCAGAGCCGGCCCTGGGGACGCCAGAGAGCAGGCGGGGGGGGGGGGGGGGCTGAGACACGGGCCTCAGCATCTCCTGAATACGTCTCAGACGGCGTACCTTTTGCGTGGTCTTTATCCAATTGATTGGCCACCTTCTTCCATTCTTCCATCTGTTCTTGAAGTGGGTTTATCAGGCAGTCAATCAAAGCGCTTTTACCAAAAAGAGGAAGAAAAGGAGAAATTAAACAGATATAGTTGTGTTGTCAAGATTTACACTGGGTTGTCAAAACATACCAAAATCACGGTCTCTGAAGCAAGACAAGGTGGCGTACTAAGCACAAGCTCACATCCAAATCCCCGATGTTGCAACCACCTCATTTTCAGGATGCTTTTCAGGGACTGTTGAGAAAGGGTGCGTAACCGATGGAAGTGACCACGCCTCTCATTCCCATTCTAGTCAAAGCTTTTATTAGCAAGCAGTGTGGGGCCTCCTCCGGCTACAGGACAGGAGCACCTGGAGAGCTCTGAAAGGTGGAGAAGCGACCTGGGCCTCCCCCAACAGCTCGCGGAAACTTTGAGGGTGGGGCCCCCACATTTTTTTATTTTAAAAAGACCCACGTGATTCTAATGTACATTCAGGATTCCAGGTCATGAACGTAGACTAATCGTGGGCAGATTTGAGAAAGAGAAGCCAGACCTCCAGCCCCTGGATCAGGGGTGAAGGCATCTCCAGGTACACCCCTTCATTTTGTGCCTTCTCCCAAGCAGACCACGCACACCCGTGGAGGGGTGGCTCCCCACACGGAGGAATCACTCGAGCCAGGCAACCGAAGTCTCGTGTCACGTACCCCCGCCTGGCCTCATATGAGATTTCTTTAGTGTCTGGTGTGCAAGCTCTGTGAGAGCAGGATGTGGTCCCGTTCCCCACTCTGTACACCTAAGGCGGCACCTGGCACATAGTAGCTGCTCAATAAACAGTGGCAGATGAAGCGGCGTCTCTTCATCGCTGAAACAGGGTGAGGTGCCACAGGCCTGGCCTGAGAACAGACCAGGATGACGTGAGGAGGCACCGTGTGGTTTGGGGAGCACCGTTCAGGTATGGGAAGGAGGGAAAGTGGCTGGAGTTCGTCACCTGCTACACCACGCACTTTGTGCTATAAATGTGTGGACATTTCATTCATTTTTACAAAAACCCTTCAGAAATTGTTATCCCCATTTTACAAGGGCCGAGAGCCGGCTGAGCATGGGAGCCTAGGCGCCTCCTGCTACGTCCTGTCCCCTGTCGAGGTGGCCCCACCAGGAGGGTCAGAGGCATTTCCCGTTAGCAGCCACTCTCACAACTTGCTACCCACAAAGCGGAGCTGTGCAAACTGCTGAACTATGCGGATCCGCTTGGAAGAATGGCCGTTCTCATTCGAACACTGGTGACTCTAAATCCCCACACCAGTCACTACTGTTTCTCCCTGCAGACGAGAGGCTGACAGCACGCAGGGCTCCGAGCTCCCACTGTCCTCAGCAGTGAGTCCCAGAACCGTGGGGCAGGCCTCAGTCTCCATTGCCACAGCTCCTCTTCAGGAGACCCCTGCAGGGGGTGGGGCCCGGGGGTGGGGAGAGACACACAGGAGCACAGTGCAGACCCTCAAGGGAGTTGCAGGCTCCAAGAGGGCAGTGACCTAGACCTCTGGCTGTTCGCTGTGTCCTCAGAGACCAGATGCCCGACAAATACGTGATCCGTGAGTGAGCAGAGTGATGGCTGTGATGAGAGGTGGGTTGCAGAGATTCAAGCACTACGGGAAACCAGTGCCACTCACGGCGAGTTAGGCCGCATACCACCCCGTCTTAACCCGAATCAGCAACGGCGCGTGGCCTCCGGGGGCCCTGGGCTTCTCACCTGGAAAACTGCCTCAGCTTGGCTTCGATGCTTCTGTGGCGCATGCACATCCTGGTGAGGGCGGAGCCGATCTCCCTGGTGCCCCCTGAGAAAGCAACAGAGGAGACGCTGAGGATGGGAGACGAGGCAGAGTCATTGAAACACAGAGAAGAGAAGGAAGGGATTTCGGCACAAGTCAGGTTTCACCACGTTGTAAAACCGGAGCCACCGCCTTGCAGGCTGCTCACCATGCACGTCCGTGTGCTCACACACACACACACACACACACACACAGATAGTTATGTTTGATGTAATATTTATAAAACCACCAACGCAAAGGTTCCCTTTACTATATGCAATACCCTCTAATATTTTCTACTCTGTTTTTTTAAGATGCTGGTTGTGACCCAGAAATTGATTTCACAGCCCACTTCACACATTGGTGACCCACGGTTTGAAAAATACTTCCCAAGGAAGAGGCCAAAGTAGTGTCTGGTATTTAGGGGAAAGCTGTGGTTGTTTTTGCTCGTTGTTGCTCCTCTTCTGACAAAACAACACTCTTAGCATTCTTTAGAGCAGCTAATAAGTCCATGCCAACTAATTGTTTCAAGGCACGTACACATACCTCAGAGGCTGGCAAGGCTAAGGCAGGATGAAATAATAGGGTGTTTTTTCACGGGTTTGGGTTATGCCAGTGCAAGAGGTCTGTCCTCACACTCAGCAAACACTCAGCAAATGTCCAAGTAAACTGCAACGCAGTTTGACTTCCCCGAAATTCTTGCCAGACTTTTCCCTTCAGGCACACCCTGGTCTAAGATTACTCCTGAAGGCCCCTTCCTTCCCGCTCTTAGAAACAACGTTTGAATCAGCACTTACTCGGGCGTGGGGGAGGGAGGAGCAAACTGGCACTACAGATGGTAATCCTGCCCCACCAGGGGAAAGCACGATTAATTATAAATGTTAGGAAAACACTGGGGCTCATGAAATCGGGGGGGAAATGTCAAATAAAGCACTATTTTTAGCAGACGAGGCCTTCAAGGGAGAGCCGCAGGAATTTATGGCAGGTTTAACCAAGTCGCATTAACGGGAGAAGAATTCCCTCCCTTATTAGTGCTTGTGACATTATTATGGGTTACACGCCCCCTCCGCCTTCTAGAAAGGGCCAAGGTGCTGTTCGCGTTCCAACCATTTTCCATTTTATTCTGCCAAACTAACAGGTTTCCAGAACTGAAAAAAAAAACTAGGAATAATAGTGGTATTATATGTTAGCAGTTTTATATTTTATCTGAATCTGAAAAGAGCAACCTTCTGAGCAATTCTCTAAAACATGGTTTCTCAACCGTAGCTCTGCTGACGTAGGGGCCAGATGTTTTCTTGTGGGAGACAGTCCTGTGCATCATCGGATGATTAGCAGGCCCCTGGTCTCTAGCTACTAGGGGCCAGTAGCAGCCCCCCAATTGGGAATACCCCAAAATGTATTCCTTCGGGAATAAAAATAGTCCCCTACCAAGCTGAGAAGCCCTGCGGTAAATCAACCTGAACCAGAACTGAATGTCCCCCGAGGCTGTTTAAATGCCTAGAAGTCTGGAAATGGCACCTTCTCCCTCCAGGCACCTGCCCCCACTCTCAGGCCTTAGGTACCCACCTCGGCAGACGTTAACCCGGGGAAACCAGCAGAGGGCGCTGCTTTCACATGAGCTGCTGGCCCCTCTGGGCTCCCTTCAGGTTCTCCTAAGCTTTTATTGCTCATAAGCCAGGACAAGGAACACTTTCTCCCCCAGGGAAATATCTCCTATTTTTCCTAGACCTTCATTTGATTAAAAGTTAATAACCTGGCCGTGCAAGGAAACTGGCGCACTCATTCATTGCTGGTACGCTAGTTCTTTTCTGGAGGAAAATTGGGCAGCAGCATCCCCTCCTTGACCCAGCAGTTCTGCTCTGAGAAACCGAACGAAGGAGATAATCAAAGATGCGAGCAAACCCTGACCTATAGGGCTGGTCATCGAAACGTCGTTCGGACCAGTAAAAACTGGCAACAAAAGCCCGTTGGAGGGAGCAGGTTAAATAAAGCATGTAACACTGCCACAGGGTGGACGGAGCAGCACGCAGGCAGCTGAACACTACAGGGCCATGCGTGAGGTCGTGGGAAGGTGAGTCATTTGTACAGAGCTTGAGACGTGTGCTCTGGGGCACGCCCTTTGCACGCATGAACGGGTTCAATTCTCACAACCCTCCTAGTTGTGTGGGTATTGTCATCACTCCCATTGTACAGACAAGAAAGGTGCCTTCTGCAATGTGTTCAAGGTCACCCGCTAGCAAGCAGGATTCCCACCCAGGCTGCACCTCCAGAGTCTGTGCATCTCACCACTCAGCACCCAGCACTTGTCACAGGCAAAGGGAGAAGGGAAGGGGCGGAGCCGAGAGCCAGGAACATGTCACCAAACTTATGCATCTCACACCGGTATGGGTGTTCGAGTTTTACAGCCCTTCTCAAGTTATTGGTTCTCGAGCCTAAAACTATCCAACTGGCAGCAGGGGGCTTGAACCCCGATCCTTGCTAAGCTACTCCAACAGCTCCATGATGGACAGTTGCTGTGTGGGTCCCCCAAGCTTCAGTCTGCTTTTGACAGCATTCTGCAGTTGGAAAAGGTCACCTCGGAGCTCAGTTCCCGCATCCCATCCCTCTGCTCGTTACTTCTGTGACCTTCCCAGATACTTTCCATAGATGGTCACCAGTAATTCATCATCCCCAGGAAAGCCCACAGCTTCACAAAAACAGCTGCACTGTGGTGTGAGAGCAAGCAGTTTCCAAACATGCTGCGTGCGCTGCAGCCCGGGGCCTCTGCAGCCCAGGGCACTCGGAGAGGAGGAATCAAAGAACCAGAGTAAACTTCCCAACTGCAGTGTCTCTGTCCAGCTGGGCACGAGGGCAGGGGACGGCAGATGACATCCCCCCGCGCCCCCGAAGCCCAGCCCTTAGCATTACTGCTGATCTGAGCAACTGGGAGCACCCTAAAAATAGCTCTCTCTGCGATATGCTTAACGTCTTGTTCTTCCTGACCCTGGCTAAAACTTAAAAAAATAAATCAGCAGGTTTGAAAAGCTTTAGAGGAACCAGGCTTCAGCGGCTAAGACAGAGCAGACATCTGGAAGAGCTCTGATTTGACAGTGGGAACACTTGTGGAAATCCAACAGCTGGCGGAGACACGCTCAGCACTTTCTGAGTGAGGACCAGACTGTGCTTGTTCCCGTGCACCCAGCACCCAGCACCGGTGCCAAATGAAGGAACCAACATGATCACTGTAAGAGCAAATCACCAGGCTGGCTGTACCTGGAGGCAGGACCAGGAACTGGGTTTATCTTGTGTTCCATCCATAAATATTTGTGCCTCTTCTATGTGCACACTACAGAAGAGCCAAAATAAGTAAAAGATACATATGAGATTCTTACTACATTAGAAAAGGTCTATACTATACTGACTCCAGGTCAGCCTGGAGAAACAATGACGGGTTCATTTCATTACCCATCATTACCCCTGCTGCGATGACTTACCACTCCCCTCAGGGGCTTAAAGCAGCACACATTCATTATTTACCAGGCTAAAACCAAGGGGTTGGACAGGCTCCATTCTTCCGGGAAGCTCTAGGGTGGAATCTGTTTCCTGACCTTTTCCAGCTTCTAAAGGCCGCCCGCACTCCCTGGCTCCTGGCCCCTTCCGCGATCTTCCAGCCAGCAGTGCAGCCTCTTCTGACTCTGCTCCTCCTTCCACTTCTTATGACCATACGGGATGTACCAGGTTGATCTCCCCATCTCGAGGTCCTTAACTAAACCACACCTGCAAAGCTCCTTTGCCATGTGAGATACCACAGTCACAAGTCTCGGGAATGAGGACATGGACACCTTGGAGGACCATTATTCTGCCGACCAAAGATGAGTAAACGTTGCTACTTTGGAGAGGGCAGAGGGGCACAGCGGTCCCATCTCCAGGGTCCATTGGTCTTCAACGGTTAGTCTGGGCCAGTGACCGAATTCCATGCAGTGACAGTTCAGGGATAGGACAAAGATGGAGAGGACATTGTTGGAGAGGCCTTTGGGGTAAATGTCCCTGATCTCAGAGAGAGACCCCAGAGGATGTGAACCGGAAGCAGGCTGCCCAGATGCTACAGTCAGCCATTGTCACAGCCATGGGGACGCCTGCCTGAGAAAGAGGCTCACCCTGTGGACCAAAGGCAGACAGAGCCTGGGTCCCCAGGTGACCATGCTGGGCCGCCAAATTAACACTCCCACAGCCTGCTCATCCCCCTGGATCTGGGCTCCTGTTTTGCAAGAACATACATTTCCTTCTTTTGAAAGCTGCTCTGCTCTGGTTCTGTTTCTTGCCAGTTCAACAAGAAAGAAGGAGGAAGGAAGGGGGCAATGACCTCTCAGGCTTCCTCCTGGAACCAGGCGTCACTTTGTTTCTAAAATAAATTTAAGTCCACCCCCTGCTGCTGAGGGATGCACAAATACTTCATGGCAAGAATCTTGGTTCTGCTCAGTGTGGTGTATGGAAGCACTTTCTCCTACGTCAAAGGTTTACACACACACACACACACACACACGTAGCACGGTGTGGTGGCAATCTAAACTGGAGGTTCTGCAAAGGAGACAAGCAGTGTAGAGAAAGAAAGAAAGGTCCAGAGGCTGGACGACCAAAGTGTGCGTGCTGGGGCACAGGAAACTCGCAACTCACAAACTCACAACGGTCTGTATCGGGTTCCTAGGGCTGCGGTAACAAGTACTCCAAACCAATTGGCTGAAAACAACCAAAACTGTGTCATCTCACAGCTCTGGAGGCTGAAAGCGAGGGTGCGCGGGGCCTCCTCTGGAACCCTACATGAAGGGCCTTCCCTCGCCTTTTCTCAGCTCTGGGGGTTCCCGACAGTCCTGGGCTTGTGGCCCCATCACGCCGGGCTCTGCCTCCGTCTTCATGTGGCACCATCCCTGCGTGTCTGTCCTCACCTGAGACACGTGTGTCTGTGTCCAAATTTCTCCTTATAAAGGCACAGTCATACTCAACTAGGGACAACCCTAATGACCTCATCTTCACTAGACTATGTCTACAGA